GCAAAACCCTGCCAACAGTTCCCAGCAGTGCCCAACGACATGTGTGTTCAGTTCACCTTCTGACAAGCAGGACGCAAGGGGAATACACAGTATGAACTGAGCCCTGGAAACCAGGTCTCAAATTCAAACTGTATGAATTTGCAATTTCGACTTACATGTATTTTGTCGGAAAGTTTCCAAGGGTTACGTTCAGTTGCATGTCAAAACAAACATGTTTGAATTTGATCTTTACAATACTCGTGTGACATGATTCCTTGCTTGAAGCAGGTCTCAAATTATGCATGTGCAATTTATTTGATACGATTACATTCATGGACATGCCAAACCAAAATTTGTCAGTATATGATATTGGATGTATTAAGATTACACTTTGTGAACTGAGTCATGGAATCCAGGTGTCAAGTTTTTGCATTTGCAAATCTGAATGTGAATGTCACACATCATTCGGATAAGATCCTGCTATATGTGTTTTTATCTCTCTCTAGGGTTACTTACTTCTGCAAGAAAAAACATTTGCACACATACTGTATTTAAACGTATTAAGGTCACACTTTGTGAACTGGGTCCTGGAAAACCAGATCTCAAGTTTTTGCAAGTGCACAACCTAATGTTAATATGAATTTCACATTTTTCTGGATAACATCATCATGTTGTTTGTTTTCTTTCTGGGGTTTCTTACTTCTGCACATGAAAACAAATGTTTGCAAGCATTTAATTTTTCATTTTTTGTGTGTCTGTGTGAGCAAGAGTTCTGGAAATCAATTTGCAAGTCTCAAGTCATGCATATGTAATTTGTGGTCACTTATTGAGATCAGATCCTGTCGGAAAGCACACACATAGGAAAATTTGATGTTTTTTTGTTGAAAATCATGTAACATATTCTTGGAGTTAATTCATGTTTTGAAAGGTTTTCTTTGTTTTTTGTTTACGCCCTGCCCCCCCCTATAGCAGCAACCTACATTGACCCCATTCCCAAAGGTGTGCAAGGTGCACAAAGGTGACAAAGCGTATGCAATCAACTCTTTGTATCTCTGAATTCCACGATTGAATCTGGCAAAGCATCTGTAAAGAATATGTGTTTTGCTAATTTTGTTGTAAGCACACACATAAAACACTGACTTTGATTTTTCTACAAAACATCCAAAATAGCAGGCCCTGTCTTACAGGTGGTTTTGTAGACTTTTTGGTAGTTTCTCGTTCCAGTATGAATAATACTGAGGTACCTAAGAGTGCTGAGCTGGGCGGTGCAGTAAGCATTAGCGAGAACTGGCAATTTATCTAGGAAATTGCGCCGTCAACGTCATGAAAATGCAGAAAACACGTTGGATAACATTCTGCAAAAAGCTAATATACACCCAGTCCTTAGTTGCAGGGCTAGAGATTAAAGCAAGTTAGTTGGCGGAACGGAGGCCATTACAACAGAAAAGATTTGTCTCACAGCCATGCCAAGCCAACACGTTACCGCCCGAAGCTGATAGGTCAGAAACTTGAATGATGCAAAGCCGTGCGGTTGATCAAGTTATCAGGAAATCATCGCTACCTGGGTCAACTCTGTACCTCCTAGACGATGAACGCAACCCTTCTTTGAAGTCGAGTTTGGACACATGCGTTAGCTCTAGAACGGCAACGATTACCTTACCTATAGCAGGAACCAACCATCAAAATCAGTGAGCCGTTCACCCACTCGCAGTTTCGCCATGAAAATGTTACTGCTGAAACAAGTAAAACATTGCACAGTTTGATCTTTGTGGTCTGGGATCCATCTGTTCCATAAAATGCCGAGCCCAAGCTAACCCAAAACATAGAACAATACCCAACGGTGATCCACACGAAGACATAGCAGAGGTAGCATATCAACATGCAAGGCAGTTGAATGGTCGTTGACAGAACAGTTCCTGAAGGACAAGCAGACGAAGAAAGAGACCGGGAACTGGCAGCAGCTGGCAATGACAATGAAGATGCAGATATGGGTGAAAACCCAAGATCACGCCGTGATCGCTACCTTCAAAGCTCAATGGAGGAAGTAAGCGACCCAGATGAGTGGGCAGAACTTCATTAATCACTTCCTATTTTCGAAACTTCCGTCCCGGCGCGTGCCGGGCACTATCTGGTGTGGATTGTTTTTTCACTGTTCGTCATGTTAGTCATTTTTTTCCGACACGCCTTTTGTTAGCATGACTTCAGTAGTCACCGTTTTCATTTTCCTAGTGTGCTTATGTGTGCTTAGGGGTGGCAGGATTCCAGGGCAAAGTCCGAATATTTAAGAAAATGGATGAAAATGGCCTGGCTAGAAGGTGGAAGGAAGCGACTAAACCGGGGAGTTTCCACGGCGGAAAGGATGGGGCCGAGGTGAGGGGGTTCCCGGTCCACATGGGATGTGTTTCGAGCAGTCTTGGTCGACGCACTTTTGTTCATTTTTCATCTTCAATATCTTCACAAGTTTATCAGACAGATTGTGGAGCAAATCCTTTCTGATATTTGCACGTGCGCACTGTCGGCGATGTTTTGACCTACTTTTGTCGTTGTTTGTTGTTGTGTTTTTGTGTTGACTCTTTCCCCGCTGACTGTCTGTTTGTAACTGGGAATGGTTGGAATCATACAGCGCCAGTGGCATTGACAACATTAGACCCAAATGAAATCCTTGTCTGTCCACGGCCCCTTCAATCATAATTTGTGGTTGCATGGTTGCCTGAGGGGCTAAGGTTCTTCAGTTGCCGCGGGGTCGCTCCAAGGGTTCAAGGCCGATCACCAGTGACAAGCATGTGTGCCTGATTTGTCCCAGTGCCATCTTCTTCTGCTACTAGTGTGTGTGTGTGTGTGTGCATGTTCCGGCTAGTGCAAGCTAAGTTTCGGGACCGTGGCGCCGTGGACAGGCAAAGACAACCAGATCAACGCACGAGTGCGCAACATGCGTGGCATCACATCGTATTGCAAATTGGATTCGGTCACCGGCACAAGGATTGCAAGGACTGTTCCTTCACCAGCGCACTCGCCCACACGCTAGACGCAACTATACTTGAAACGTTCGACATGGAATGAGGCAACCACGGTAGGCCGGTTTCAAGGGCAATTTCTACTAAGCAGAGTTCGCAGCTGACTTGCAACAAGACATGCCGAGTGCAAGTTCAAGCGTTCCGACTTGCTCGCACATTTGTTGGTTCGAAGATGCTCAATGCCAAACTGTGAACAGACAAAGTTCGCCATATCAAATTGTGTTTAAAACGTGAGCAAAGTAGGGGTAGTAGCGGCGAAATATTGTTCCAGCAACCTGGCAGTTCGAAGGTCTTGCGGAAAAAGCAGTTGGTGACAAGTCGTCCTTCACCGAAGAGACTGTGGATTAAGAGCGAGTAAAATTGGGTCGCTAATAGCGGAAAAGCTGGAGTCACTAAGAGCGCATAAACCGTTTCTATACGCTATTAGTACACAGACTTCTTCACCGAAGAGTTTTGGGGATGTTTTTTCTTTTCTGGCAATCCAAGGTCACGTTGGGTTCCCGAGCACCCGAGATAAATTGGACGTTGGCAGAACTAAAGTAACTAAAGCCTGCAATCCACCGGAAATCAGCCAAATTCCTGCATGTTGTTTGGTGTCTGAACTTTTGCAAACCGTTCCAGAAGATTTTTGCTGGAATTGTTGAGGTCATTGAAGAATAATAGAATTTGGACCGCGGACGGGCCGCCTCATATTGAAAAAAAAAAATGTCCACGGTTTCAGGTGTAAGGACCACAGCCCATTTTCCCCCATCACCAACACATGTTTAGTTTGGTTTAGTACAGGATCCAATATGGAATACAGGGTTCTGGACGGGATGGAAGCTACCTAGAAACTGTGGCCACAAAAATCTCGACCAGCACAAACAATATAATTGTTAAGGCCCGTCTTGCAAGTAAGCCGCTATGGCTTGTCAGCCTTGAACGTTTAGCGGTGATAAGTTGGGATGGATTGTGGAAAACGGTCAGGTTGCATGGCGATTTTGAACGTTTGAAGTGGATGACGTAAATGGTGCTCTATATTCTCTATATATTTGGTGCAAAAGGCTGAGTCATCAGCAATCCAAGATCACATAAGGCGCGAATTTAACATCAAAACGTGCGTACAGGAAGGTTGAGTTTTGAGCCCGCGGTTGTCTTTGTCTCCGTTTCTGTGCGCAACAACCTAGCGTTTTCAAGTTTCACATTGGCGACGGTGGGCATTCAGATTCAAGGCGCAGCCCCGTCCAAGTGTCAGGACATGATTTTGAACATGGTAAACACCGGGAGAACCCATCAAAAACCTGCCTATAATTCTATAGAATTCTCTTGTACCACAGTGGGGTTTCCGCAACACTTCCGCGACCGCAGTTTTCCACGAAAGGTTCTGCTGCGATTTCGTGTTGTCCAGAGGGTCGTGTTCATTTCGGGGCACCTCCACGGGTTTCCTCGCCAGGTTTCCGTGCTCTGGGGCCTCTCCGCAGAGTTTCCTCAAAAGTTTTTACCCAGCGAACTCCGTGGTATAGGACCTATAGGATCGTCAGATTTGTTTCGGTCCGCCGCTACAGTTTCTTTTCGCATCTTGCCCCTTTCCTCGGTCTAAATGAGACGCAGGCAGCAGACATTCTGCAAGCCAATTGGTCTTTGCCCTTGTGTGTCATAACATGTCATAACCATGTGCATGTAGTGGGAATACACGTTTCAGGGATTGCAATATGTTTTCCACCATCGCCTGCTTCCTCTCATTGTCGTACCCTTCCAACCAGAACACCCACTTTGACACCTTAAACTGCTACTTGCGTCGCTACCCTCTTCGCAGGTTGCTACAGCGCCGTTGGATATTCGTGATTCTACTAGCGCAATGCCACGGCGAATGATCTCACAGGAATAGCAAGCAAATCACGATGATCACTGGCCAAGCAATGGCCCCGTGCATTCAATGCCAATGAATATAGAACAAAAATGACTAAATTTGAAGGTTGACAAGAAGGTCCGAGCCTTTTATGCTCCTACCCTCAACTTCATAAACTCTGGTACTGAAGTTATGATCCCCCCCAGCGGAATCTCGCATATTCTTGCTCTTCTGGCGTTCTGCGTCTCCATCTCCGGGCCACATCAACTGCAAGCTCTCACCTAAGGTCGGGGAAAACTGTAAGATTACCATCAAGGTAGCCAGGCCAGCCAGAACTCATATAAACTCAACTACCCATTGTCTGGATCATGCGACGGGAAGCTATGGGTACCTATGGGTAGCCATTGCAGCTCCGACTCCCCGCCTCAGAGCACTGGAACCGGCGAGTTGATGCTAGGAGACCGGGCCTTAGGACATGTTGGATCTGCATCACAAGATAGGGCCGTTGATAAGGCCGTTGATAGCCATGGCATCATGATGGTCCCCTTGAGCCATGACTCCATATCTTTTGACATCGTTGAAACTCAAATCATTGGAAAAAACACTGATGTTTGCACAAACCCCATCCCATTTTGTCTCCCAAGATGCGTAAATGATTCCTTCCTCTGGATAGAAAGGAAACTGCACCAATGCTTTCTCCTCCACCTAAGATATGTGAAGGCTGCAGACACCAGGGTTGCAAACAACACGTGATGCTATGGAAACAACTATTGTCCTGACATTGGCATCCTGCCATCATGATAGTCTATTTGATCCAATTATGCGAGTCTGAATCCATGGATCCATGGAAACTGAAGCTGGTGCATTCCCACTTCCAACTGTGCGGCTCTAGGTAGCTAAAGTTTGAATGCCATGTTTCCTTTTTCCATTGGCAGCTGAAAGGCGTGGTTTAGGACACTGAAGTCATGGTTATCCAGAAAGTTACCCTGCCTCGTGTCGCTGGTCTGGCCCAATCTCCTTCAAGACTTTACCTGTACAGAGCTTTGTTTGGGCTGTCGTTAAGTCATGCACTTTGAGATTCTTTCAACTAGAGCTTGGGAATGGAAGATAAACCGCTGAGTCCTTCCCCGGTTTCCAACAATCCAGCTCAAACGAGCTGCGAAATTAAGCAAAAATACTAAACTATGTAATTACACGTGCTGCGTTGCAGCATTTGTTAAACAAGATGAAGCCCACGAACCCGAATGCTCACACGTATGTGAATGGTACAGATGTCAAAACACATGGTTATGCAGTCACGCACAATACCTTTCTGGAATAGTTTATTTGAACAGTCTTGTACATGTTTCCCTTGTTACCAGTCTGCAGTGTGGAGTGGAAAGTGTAGAGTGTAGAGTGCGGAGTGTGGAGTGTGAAGTAAGGAGTGTGGAGTGTAAAGTGTGGAGTGGGGAGTGTAGAGTGTGTAACGTGTAGAATGCGGAGTGTAAAGTGTAGAGTGTGGAGTATGGAGTGTAAAGTGTAGAGTGTGGAGTGTGGAGTGTAGAGCGTAGAGTGTGGAGTGAGGAGTGTAAAGTGTGGAGTGTGGAGTGTAAAGTGAGGAGTGTAAAGTGTGGAGTGAGGAGTGTGGAGTGTAAAGTGAGGAGTGTAAAGTGTGTAGTGAGGAGTGTGTAGTGAGGAGTGTGGAGTTTGTAAATTGTAGAGTGTGAAGTGTAGAGTGTAAAGTGTAGAGTGTAAAGTGTAGAGTGTGGAGTGTGGGGTGTAAAGTGTGGAGTGTAAATGTAGAGTGTGGAGTGTAAAGTGTGGAGTGTAAAGTGTGGAATGAGGAGTGTAAAGTCTGGAGTGTAGAGTGTGGAGTGTGGAGTGTAAAGTGTAGAGTGTGGAGTGTGGAGTGTAAAGTGTGGAGGGTAGAGTGTGGAGTGTGGAGTGTAAAGTGTGGTGGAAAGTGTGGAGTGAGGAGTGTAAAGTGTGGAGTGTGGAGTTTAAAGTGTGGAGTGTTGAGTGGAAAGTGCGGAGTGTGAAGTGTGAATTGTAAAGTGAGGAGTGTGGAGTGAGGAGTGTAAAGTGTGGAGTGTGGAGTGAGGAGTGTAAAGTGTGCAGTGTGGAGTGTAAAGTGTGGAGTGTCGAGTGAGGAGTGTAAAGTGTGGAGTGTGGAGTGGAAAGTGTGGAGTGTGAAGTGTGGAGTGTAAAGTGTGGAGTGTGGAGTGGGGAGTGTAAAGTGTGGAGTGTGGAGTGAGGAGTGTAAAGTGTGGAGTGTGGAGTGTAAAGTGTGGAGTGTGGAGCGTAAAGTGTAGACTGTGGAGTCTGGAGTGGAAAGTGTGGAGTGAGGAGTGTAAAGTATAAAGTTTGGAGTGTGGAGTGTACAGTAAAGTGTGGAGTGTGGAGTGCGGAGTGTGGAGTGGAAAGTGTAGAGTGTGGAGTGTGGAGTGTAAAGTGGGGAGTGTGGAGTGTAGAGTGTGGGGTGGAGTGTAAAGTGGGGAGTGTGGAGTGTAGAGTGTGGGGTGAGGAGTGTAAAGTGTAAAGTGTGGAGTGTAAAGTGTAGAGTGTGGAGTGCGGAGCTTCCCCCATAGACACGGCGACGCCACAGGAAAACCAGAAACTCGAAACGAGACACGTGGGTGCAAAAAAACAAGCATTTCCTGCGAGACTTCCTCCAATTTTGATATTTTCGACAGGTTTTCAAACAGGTTGGAATGTCACAAAGTGCCACACCTGCCACGCAAAACGATATGACAACCTGCTTGGACACATTCGAATAGGAGATATTTTCCAGCTTCCCCCATAGACACGGCGACGCCGCAGGAAAACCAGCGACTCGAGACAAGACACGTGGATGCAGAAAAACCAGCATTTCGTACGAGACTTCCTCCAATTTTGACATTTTTGACACATTATCAAACAGGTTGGAATGTCACAAAGTGCCACGCCTGCCACGCAAAACGGCATGACAACCTGCTTGGACACATTCGAATAGGAGAGGTTTTCCAGCTTCCCCCATAGACACGGCGATGCCACAGGAACACCAGGGACTCGAGACAAGACACGTGGATGCAGAAAAACCAGCATCATTTCGTACGAGACTTCCTCCAATTTTCATAGTTGGCAACATGACAAAAGGACAAGTTTTGCAGCTTCCCCCATAGACACGGCGAGGCCACGGGCAAACCAGAGACGCGAGACGAGACACGTGGGAGCACCAAAACGAACATTTCGTGCGAGACTTCCTCCAATTTTCACACTTTGTAGCTTCAAAATCGCCGTTTTCCTACGAGTTTTCCTTAGAACCTGTAAATTTGCAACCTCAAAATCGATGTTTCGTGCGAGGCTTCCGTCAATTTTCAGCACATCGCACAAAATGCCACGCCTGCCACGGAATTTGCACCTTGTCGCCACTGGACGCAGCCCTGCCAATGCGATTTGCAAAAAACACGCAACGCGACACGTCTAAAGTGCTGCGCCTGCCACGAAAAATGTCGATAGACACGCCCAAAGTGCTGCGCCCGCCACGAAAACTGCAACACATCTTCTGAAAACGTCGCAAAAGTATTGCGCCTGCCACGCAAAACGACTTTCGACACGTTGCAGAACACGTCTGAATGTCACGAAGTGCCACGCCTACCACGCGAAACGAAGCAACGACACGTCTGAAACCTCCAAAAAGGACCACCTCTGCAAAACTTCCCATAGGCACGGCCATACGGTCCTCACGCGAACGGTTGCGAACGGTTGCGAACGGTTGCGGACGGTTGCGGACGGTTGCGCTCGCGAACGCAACGTCGAGCGAACACACCCTCAACCCCCAGACCCCCAGAGTGAAACGGGAACCCTTGCTACGCATTCGGGAAAAATTGCCCTGTCGGGCCAACAAACTTGCCCCACCAATAGCTTCACCGACAGGCCTGTGGAATACACACGCTCCTGGCAACACTGCCTAGCCCGCGGGAGTGCCCGCCACATGTAGCTCAGTACCCTGGAGAGTAGCAGACTGCGAGTTCGACGACGCTCAGGAATCAAGAAAAATGTCAAAAATACCTCTGCCCGTGCCCCATTATGTTTCAAAGATAGCGATGCTTCCAGTCAAAGATCTGGCAAACAGAACAAGCCGAAAGATTGCAATTCAAAGACGCTCTGTGTTGAAAGCTCAATCTTCGATCATTTAACTGCCAACCTTTTTACAATGTGTGTGTGTGAATATACAAAAAAAAACAGCGAATACTTTGGTGTCACTATAGCCTCAGTGAGACAGCAAACTCATTATTGGCACTTGCACGGATAAAAAGTTCGCAACTACATGTCTCTGTTACCTCCATTAAGTCCGATGGATTGCCGCACACTGGTAGCGCTGGTAGCGCGCCTCCGGAGCGATTCCTCAACTTCTTCTGCTTGCGATTTCCATCGCGCCTTGATGCGGCAAGGACAACCGGGGCGGCCGTTGCCCCCAGTCTCGCCTCCATGGCGCAGCCAAGGTTCAAGACCACAGGTCTTCACCAGGCTTTGCACCTCTTTCACCATGCCCTCACGGCAAGATACAGTAAGACAATGTACTTACAAGACATACCAATGCTGATATCCCAACGATGACATCAATAGTTGCGTCTGTGGACCTGTTTGATTCTCAGAGTCCCAACAGATTCAACATATCTGATGTATTCCGATGTCCATTTCCACCGGCGCCTCCACCCAAAGTTCCTCCAATTTCTCATCGCCCTCAGACAGACGTGCCAGTTGCAACTCTGGGGCCACGCGACGGGCCAGAAAGCCTGGCGCCACTGGAGCTTTGTGCCATGTCGAAACAAAATAGGCCCTATAGGTAATGAAAGAAAAGTAAAGAAATCATATTCTGTCAAACTGTATCAGCAATTCTCATCGCCAGTGGTAAATAGCTATTGTCATATCTAATTTTCACCTATAAACTTTATAAATACTCATGTTTAGTCATGGTTGAAATGGTTAAGAATGGTTCATATGTGTTAATAATGGTGTAACATATACATATTCATATTCATATACATATACATATACATATACATATTCATATATCATATATCATATATATATATTATTATGTATATCATATATATATACATATGATTATGTATATTATAATATATATATGATTATGTATATACATTGTTAATGATGGTTACTGGTCATGGTCATGCCACGAAAACACCCCGGCAACTCCAAGGCCTATAGGCAGCGTGGCACGCATCAACCTCGGCCAGCAAAAACTTGGCTGCTCAAGGTAGGAAGAGAAGATAAAGATATTGCTATATCTGTATGGGTGTATACATACATACATACCTACCTACCTACCTACCTACGTACATACATACATACATTACATAACATAACATAACATAACATTACATGACATGACATGACATGACATGACATGACATGACATGACATTACATTGCATTGCATTGCATTACATTACATTACATTACATACATACATACATACATTACATACATACATACATACATTACATACATTACATACATATACATATATATATATAACATATAAAATATCATAGATATTTTCATATATATATATGTAATTTATGTATCATGAAAATAGATGCGTGTGTGTGTGTGTCTTTGAAAGCATGTATATTACGGACTCGAAGATGCTACAATATGCTACAGCTTCCAACTATGCGTAGCGTCTTGGGGCGCTGCTCATTCTGCGGGGTGGCCTTCAAGATCTCCTCAGCACCAAAGCACTGGCCCAGCTGATTGCGTCCCTGCGACGAAGGGTTGGAGGCTCCGTTCGTGGAAATAATTGACAAACAATTCACAAACTCGAGAAATTTAATAGGACGTTCCTCTCACCAACTGCATAGATAAATAAATGGAACAATACATTGATGGATAGATGGAATAAATACGTTGAAGTTCTATAATATTATATAATATATAATTTATAATAGTTTATAGTGTTATTTAGAATGATACCATTAGACAAATTATACCAAGGGATCAAACACATGATAAGGATGGATCTCCGGCCTCGTGAATACCAGCTGCACAGCGCATCACCTTGTCCATGGTGAGGCCCACGGATTCCAGCAGTAGGCTGACCTCGAAGGCATCGCTTCACCATGTCGTGACAACTTCACCCAATGGCTTCAATGGCCGTTGAAAATTGTGAAAGACTTGGCTGACCTATACTGAGCTATGCTGAGCTGCCACACAGTGAGGCTGGTCGAATAGCAGGATGTTGTGGATAAAGAGCTGGTATCGAAGGTGCTCGTCGCCTGGTGAACGGTTTATTACGGTGTAAGGTCAGAAGAGACCGTCTCAATCGCTGGCATGGCTGACTTCCCTTGGCCGATGTTGACCCCCCGTGTGGCTCAGTCCCGGGCGTGTGGGAAACCTCGTGGGAGGTACACAACCTCTCCACACTTCAAGCATTCGTCCAATAGCAAAGGCCCCACCTGTCACTTCTAGTAGTGGCTCAAAGAATCCATGAGTGGATGACAAGTAAAAGCCATGAAAACCTTCGTTGCCCCGTCTCCCGCATGCATCCGGAATCCTGACCCTTTGCCTGCTCCAAATACAGCACGTCTCCAGCTTTGCCCCTGAGGCATGCATCTTCCGTATTGCCGGGCCAACATTAAATTTGGAGTCTTGGTTTACTTAGTTTACTTGTAGGCTTGCTGCCAGCCGTTCTTTGAAGACAGAATCCTTTAAAGTGGGCCTGTCACTCATGCCGGCATCCAACACAGGCCACCGCGGGACTGCAGCGGATGTGTCGAAGATGCGCCATCGCTTCGCGCCCTGAGAGCAGTTCAAGCATTTTACTGAAGAGTTTCAGGGATGCGGTTGTATCTTCCAGAATTTGTCCTTTCTTTCAATCCAATCTTCGGAGTAAAGAGCAAAGAGCTGTGAAACTCAAACACAAAACAAGCCTCAGTCTGCATGATGAAGGAGTCGAAGCGATCTGTATGTAGCGGGGCTGTGATTGGAGAATCCAGCCGCGAAATGTAAACATTGGTGGTCACAAAGGGCACCTGCCAACAGTTCCGAACAGAAACAGAGACTTTGCATGACTTTGCTTCACAGTGCTTCACATGTTCATCATTTTCCAAAGTTTTTCCAAAGTCCAAAATGCTTCGGGTCACCTGGAAGGAGCACTGCAGAGCTTCACAGATTCGCGCCAAGTGTGGTGATAGCGAGTTGCCACTGCTGATGACCCAGGTGCCCATCTCCAAACCTGTCACCGTTCACCACACGTTGCGCCGTTGCAAACCGTTGCACGGCTGTCCACACGGACCTTGTCTCACGGAGGCCTCGGTGGCCTCCCGATCTCGCTGATCATCTGCCATGAAGCTGTGGGCCTTGGCCTGTCCAATGGCCTCAAATGCACCGTGTTTTGTCGGGGTCCAACGAGATGAATTGAATTGACTTCAATCGACTTCAATTGACTTGATGAATTCGTTTCTGCTAATTTTTCGGCTGATGTTGGCCCAGTTTGTCCGTGCGCAGTACAGAAACTGCCAGTCCTTCTCTGAACTCCGAACTGTCTTTTTCTGGGTTCCTTGCAGGATGTGTGAAGCGGCTGTAACCAGTCCTCAGCCACAAAATAGCAAGAGGATCAGTGACTCATATGTCAAGTTGAGAAATGTGGACAGCTTTCCATGTATATAAATAAAATCCATCACGGGCAAAGTTATCTGCACCCCATTTGAAAAGCGGTTTCCTTGCGTGATTGTTGAGGGCGTCGATACTCTCCTTTCATAGTTGGGAGCCGTTCAGGAAGATCTGAATTCTGGATCCAAATCGCCTTTGGTGGAACTTGATATGGTGGTGACTCAAAACCTGCTTTCACTATATACTTTCGTTGACAAGTTGCAGCTGAATGGGCTTCCGCTTCTCTTCTGAACTCTCTTGGAACACCTCGTAGCTCTCGTGGTGGAGCAATCGCAATTGCTCCTGGGCAGGTTGTCCCTACATACAGGACTTGCCCAAAGTCGGCCTGCAAATTCCGAAGTAAGAATTTGCCTCTTTCACCCCTTCCACATTCCACCAGGGTCCTCCAATGTCCAGCGTCCTGCAACTAGCTCTCCACATTCGAGGACGAAGGGCATGCGACCATAGAAGTGCGAAACGAAAGTCTCACTGGCCTGACAGCGTCATCAAGGCATTCCCAAGAATCCATTGTTCATTCATCCATTGTTCCAATGCTCACCATTGCTCACCAATGATTCAATGTTTTTCGCGTGGACATCATGGTCTAGCTGGATACGAAACCAAATTCTGTGTGACGAACCGATGACCTAACCGATTTCATGAACATCATGAACATCATGAACCATCTTTCCTGTCTTTCCTGTCTTTCCTTCATACGTCATATGTGTCATGTGTGTCATGAAGATCATGAGCCAAGCCACCGCCAGCGCCGTGAAGATTGCTTGGAGGCCATCCGCACCTGGACATGTCTACAGTGTCTACAGTGATGTCAAGGTACCCAAACCCATCTGCACCCTGACCCCCAATGACGTTCTTGCCCAGGTCTACATGAGTCTACATGTCTACCAGACCCTTTCTACATCTTTCTACAACCTTCACAAACCGCATTTGATTGGAAGACCTCCGGCTATTCACAGTTCAAATCGGGTGAAAACCTGGCCTGCACCACCGTTTGCTAGGTGTTGACATAGCTCGGCCTCCATCTTGGCAGCAGCAGCCTGGCAGAAGCTAGAGAGTTATGTCACTTGGGAATTGGCTGACAGGCAAATCATGGCAAATCATAATTCAAATTGGGTACAGCTGATGAACGCGAATGCAAAGACAACTGCACTGATGCAAAGGCCAGTGTGTATGAGAATCTTAATTGTTCGGGCTTCCTCTGCAATATCCTCATGCTACCTACACTCAAGAACTCAAGGACATCGATCATCATCGAACTAGCTGAACAAAAAATGCTGAAATAGTCGATAAAACCACCTAACACAAAGATCAGAACCAGACAACAATATACAAACAGGACTTCAAATAGAAGCCTTGAACTTAAGAAAACTGAGGTAGTCTGCAGGTAGTCTGCAAGTATTTTTGCAGAACACAAACATGCTGCCCTTCGTGGTGACCTTGGATTTGTTGCAACGGATCTTTGGGACCACCATGGAGGGCGTGGTGGCGCGGCGCCGCGGCGCTTCCTCTTTGGATGTCTTCTGCTCTTGGATGTTCTGCGATGTTCTTGCACTCTTGGTGTTGCCAGACTACGGCTATGGTGAGCAGCAATGAATCAAGTCTCCGTGTTTTTTTCAAATCCAGCCAAGGTTCATCCAGCTCTGCGTCATGATAACGTGGGTTTGTCATTGTAAAAATCATAGTGCAATTGAAAATCTTGTATTTTGACTTGAGCAGCTGCACCGCTACACCATCCTGTCTGTCTTAATAAGGAAGCAAAAAAATGTTTCACTCGATCTTCATACTTCAATGTGAGTCGCCTCTGCAGGAAAGTGTAAGTTTAACCAGTAACTCATCATTTAATCTCAAATATCAAACAATATCAAAGCCAAAGCTTTCCAGTTGTGGTGTTTTTCATCATTTGTCATACATCTTGTGAGAGTCCCATCTAGTGATTTCTAGTGTTCCAATAGTGTTCCGGACATCTTGGAGGCACCGGATGCAGCGTTGCCACGGTGGCAGAGAACATTAGCAGCACTTTGCTTTGAGTGCAGTGCTTGGAGAAGTATTTGAGGAAGCAAAAAACACCGGAAAAACATGCAGAACTTCAAAACATTTCAAAACCATTGTTTGGATATGTATTTAGTTTATCTAATTGTGACTTATCACCGTCCGTGACAATGGAATGATATCATCTCCAGTCCCTTCCGGTAGTTTTGAGGGTTGCTCCTCGTCAGAGGCAATATCTCTTGAGATCTGCCCAATTTCTGAGCAAGGACTGTAAGAACTGAAAGGACTGCAAGGCACCCAGATCACCCAGGTAAAAACATGTGCATCGCTTTAAGATGAGAGGTTTCAGGCTGTTTCAGAGGTGAAGTCTAGTAACTGTCTAGTAACTCTAGTACGAAGTCACAGCATCAGTTGCGCTGAACGTTGGGCTCATCGGATCAGCCGCTCATGAGTGAGTTGAGTCAGCGAAACTGATGTGTGTGTTCCTCAGTGAGATGGGGGTCTTCGATCAAAACACCTTGAATTTGCTGTCTTAACAAAAATTGTTGTAGAAATACAATCATGATCAATACCAATTTTGACAGCATCGTTTGAATTTTGACAGCATCGTTTGTGCCGCTGGCAAATGCTTGTCTTTGCCACTGTGAACATTGCTAGACTTGCCGACAGAGGGGGTCAAGTGTTCTGCAGGCTCCGGACACTCCAAGCAGCTTTTTGCACACATGGTCACCGTGTGGTCTACTGTGAAACAGCGTGACAATGAACATGAAATACGCACGTACATAACACAAAGTCACCTTGAGACAAACGACTTGAAATTCCGAGGAGTCGCTATAATGCCTTCTGAGCAGAAGCTGCCCCAGACGCTGCGTCTCTCCGTGTGAAGCCATCGACAGCCCAATAGAAAAAGAGCAGCAATGCCATCGTTGACTTCAGGCTTATGTCGGACACTGTGTAGAACCGCTGGCACGCATAAGAGCTCGCAAAGCCCCACAGACCGCAGAGGTATATGCAGGTGTAAATGATGAAAATGCACTCTTTTACGATGATACTATACCCTTTCAAGAAGGGTTGAGAAGTCGTCAAAAGTCTGTCGCACACCAGTACAGCCTCATCAACAATCACCACAATGTAGGCAACACAACCAAGCGTGATCAGGAACCAGCCCATCCAGGGGTCAGGAATAATACAGCCCAAACAACATGCCCAGCAATAGGCCCATGAGTTCGCCTGTTGTGGGAAAAGCCTAGCAAGCACTGTCAGAGCAGTCTCATCATCCATGATGGGATACAAATTCATGAAATTCAGGGTTGGGATTGCAAAGGACCAACCCACCCAGCGAGTCACATAGATCGGGCGGTAATCGACACATCTTTGATTCCAGAAAGCAAAGTCGTAGCCCTCTGACAACATAGTGTAGTAGGTGATTTTCACAGAGAACTCAAACATACACACTCTGGAAATAACCAGTGCTCGACTCCGAGGCCTTGAAGATCTCATCTCACAGAACATAAACAAGGTGATGCAACACAAGGGAATGATCAAAACATAGCGAGCCACAGTGAAAAGCGCAATCTCATCTTCGTTCACATCTTTGTACAAAGGTCCAATCTCCCAGTATGCATGAGCAAGGAGACAACACAAAACTTGTGCCACAGTGAAGTACACGCACCAACGTGCGCTCGGCCAGGAGTTCCATGTCGCCGAAATCTGCAGCCACTCTTGAGACATATCTCTCGAGTCCAATGGGAACCAGTGGTATTACCTACCAAAATATCTCAAAAAATAATGATTTGATCGGGGGCCTTGAGCTGCAAAAATGCATTGCATCATTGATGTTTTCTCCAGTTGGCACAATTCTTAGACGGGAAAAGGATGAATCGGACCTGGGCGGGGCTTCTTCAAGGGCCACAATGAAGCCGTTGTCATAACCAAACATGATCCAGGCCATCTAGGCATGTGATTCATGATTCATGATGATTCATGTATGGACAAAGTGCATTTTACGTTTTCTGCACACAGCCACACAGCTGTGCCGTGTCCATTTTCTGACAAGGCGCGATCGTCTTGAACCTCCTTGTTCCCCCTGGTCCCTTCAGGCATGGCCCAGGGTAAGGCTCAAGAGAAGGGAACAATTGGGAAAAAACAAGGCTTCAGAGACAGAAACAAACTCAATGTAGTACTGCGATCTTCACTTAAGCTGCCGTCCACCAGTCTTCATCAGTCCATAACAAGCAGCAGTGCAAAGAAACTGTGGAATACTTGCTGCCTTCATGATCGTAGCTTTACTGTGGAAAACATCTGTCAGTCTGTGAATTTCTCCTTCCTCCCTAATATCCTCTCCGTTGCTTGTCCTAAGTCTCCCTGCAATGTGCTGAGCCTGAGAATAGATCGGGGCAGTGTTTCCAATTCAGGCAACACACCTGCTCACAGAGGACAGCAAGAGACCCATCTATGCTGCAGAGCCTGGTCCGTTGATTTTCTTCATGACTGATGCATACTGATGCTGGATATCGGTCTGATGAACTGATGCGGCAATCACAGGGAATAGTTGGTGCATGATAGTGCCATGGCATGTCCCGCCATGTGCCATGGCTGCATCCAAATGCCATGTGCCATGGAAATGCCTTCCTTCCAATCCCGCAGCATTGCTTTCTTCGTAAAGATTGCTTGGACGTCATTCATCTGCTCGATGGCTTCCTCAAATGCCGCGCAAATGCCAAACAGCAGACCGGCAACTCGCAAATGAACTTGAAAGGGTCCAACAGATAGTAAAAAAGTTTGACAATTAAAATAAATAGAGTATGTGCAATAAATAAAGAAATCTATACAGTAAGTGAATCAATCAATTAGCTACGTGTATATGTATGTGTATACATTTAAAGAAAAAAACTAAAAAAGTAGAAAGCGATATTGAACTAAAAAAGGCTATCGAATGGAAGGCAAACAAACAGCTTCACAATGGCTTCAACAAGCCATTGTTCTGTGCAAACAAGCATCAGTAAAGGTCTTCCGTATGGAAAATGAGATCCTTGGCCAGATCCAATTCATCTGCAAGAATCTGCAATGTCCCTCACTTTTTCCACACACCAGCTATACTATGTATGCACATATGTATGCTATACTAAGCCTTCAGACGTTTTTTTCTGTCGACCATACCAAGAGAGATTCTATGTACTTTAAGACCTTGCATCTTCAGCAACAAACTTCGATGCAGCCTTCAACGGCCAAAGATTGCCGAGGGGCTTATCCATCTCGCCCTCTAGCAAGTCGTCTGCATACATCTCCCCAAGGAGATTGGCTCCAGCTGCAATACGGCCACCTGGTCAGGGTCTGCGGGCAGTTAGCCTGGTCCAACATTGAGCAAGTGGTCCCAGACATGACAGCATGACGGTGGCTCATGTGAACCTCTTTGGGAAAGTCCTTCAGCTTCCTCTGCAAGTTGCTAATCAGGACATCAGGAGTGGCTGAAACATCAAAGGGGTCCTCATGCCAAAAGCCATATTCAAACTTGATGTTTGGCAAGCGGAAGCTCCTGATAGTGCATGTGCGTGCGGCATTGTTTTTTTACTTTGAGGCAAGCTTTGAGGTACATGCCGCATGTTACATGCCACACCAACTTTGAAGCCCAGTCAGGCCTGCCATCTTCTTGTAACGGTCAAGCTCTGCTTTAGTGGCTGCCAGCTGTTGCTTCAGCTCGGAAATCCTGTCACACATGCGTTTGATTTTAGTTGTAGCCATGAAAGCAGCATTGGTAGCCTGGTAGACTCTTCAGGCTGGTAGGCTAGATAAGCAAAGCGGGCCCAAACGTAGGGAAACCACACATCATCACTGATCATCACTATCAAGATCTATCTCGCTGATTGATCATCACATATCATAACTATCAAGTCACATCCTGCGCAGCTGAGGCGCTCCGCTTTTTGTTCCTCGATGATCTCATCCTTCTCCGCCAACTCCGCCACATGGGACACACCCAAGACCCCACCACGGGTCGCTGAGCAGGGCGAGATGAGGCATTGATAGGGATTGAAGCACATCGAGCGGATGATTTCTATTCACCAAGTTCACCAAGTCACCAAATGAGTAGAGAAAGGCGTTGCACTTTCAGTATCTTTCAACACTAACAGTCACTAATAGTCACCAACACAAATTCAGCGTCACATAATTTTGAGGTCAAGATTTTCAGCAAGGCATTCTTTCCACAGTCTCGACTATGTGCAGCTTCGGAACCCACGATCAAAGACTCGTGCACGCCCGTCAGCTGCCTTGCTGTTGTGGGGTTTCAACACGTCATGACTTGCGGTTGGGACGGGAGGAGCCCATGAGAGTTTGCTTCAGAAGCTTCCCACAGCCGAGTAGCTCCATCTGCCATTCCCGTTTAGCTTGAGCATAGTCTACCTGCCGCATCTGCCGGCAACGTATTGCAGTTTGACACAATCCTGTGTTCGCTTCAACTCTCCATGGAAAAAAAAAGTCTTGAAGTCAACTTATGGAACCTTGCAAAGAGTTGCAACTTTTTGTGACCAAAGGTCGGTGATCCAATCTTGATCGATTCCTTTGGAAACACTTTTCCAAGAGACTTGCCTGCCCGCTGGCAATAAGGATTTCGGGCGCACACACTGTATGGTCGACGAACACAAAGAAGTGCCTGGCCAAAAACAGTCTTCAAGCACAAGAAGAGGGAAAACCACAATTCCAACCACCACAATTATCACAAGATGTTGTGCATCGCGTCACCATGTATCAGATCAAATCAGATCAGGCCATATATCACTGCCACCACAACCACTACCATCACCATCATCGCCACCACCACCAGCATCGTCATCATCATCATCATCATCATGAGTGAACATTATCATCATCACCATCAAGCATCGAGTCAACACCAAAAGCCTTCCAAATTAGGAGCGTCCAAAACCATCTGTCATCCCCTAAACTTCAGCTTGATATGGGTTCCCGCAGTCCATTTTACCCCCCATGAAGCCAGCATAAGAGAACAGCGCATCAACAACAGTCATCGACCCAGCATTTTATGCCTGACCTCTATGACCATGTTTTGATCTTTTTTGGTTATGAAACCTCCTGTCAAGCTGTGGTGATAACACCTGCTGCTCACCTGCCAAAGACCAGTGTATCAGCGTGCGACAGCTCGATGCCCGTGACCTTCGAAGGGTGGACCGTGAAGCGAACATGAAGTGACCGTGAAGCGACAGTGAAGCGACTGTGAAGCGACTGTGAAGCGACCGGGGCTTCTGTTCAAATCTGTTCAAATCTCTTTGAAATAGAAAGTAGCACTGGACTCAATGATAGAATAGCATAGAATAGCATCAAACACCGGCCCTCACCCAGCATTGAGCCAAGGGCTTTGGGCTTCTCCACTTGTCTGCAAATCCTGAGTTTCCCACCGTTTAAATGCCCCCATATATGTATATATATATAATTATATAAATCAATATAAATCACCCCTAGAGATCCAGAAATGAGAGAGAGAGAGAAGGAGAGAGGGAGAGAGGGAGAGGGAGAGGGAGGGAAAATTACAGAGCAATGTTTGGTGGCAAATGCGTAGCTAAGATGCCCCTTCTTCTCCTCGATACCTGCAAAGGCACATCTGTGAAGGACCTGAATGATTGTCTCCCTTGGCCTTTGAAATCTCTGAAACACTCGTCACCTTTGCTGTCCGCCATGTCACCAGGTTTGCGCCTTGGGCACGGAAGAGTTGCTTCAACGACTTGCCATTCACGAAGGTCGACTGTAAGCCCTCTTCGCCTTCCAGCAGAGAGTGACCATGCAAAACTTGTTTTCCTGTCCTGTCTTCAGAGAACTATTAAAACAAAAAAAAGTACAAAAGAAAAGATATCTGAAGCAAGTGCTTGTCACTGGCTGCATAGATGGAGCATAGATCCATGTCCTCGTGAGCTTGTCAGTCTTTTCACAACTGAAGACCCCCGTTTACTCCATTCAAACTCAACAAAAAAAACATTGCGAAGAGTAAAAGAGCAAGAAATGCGGCCACTCCAAAGGGCACAAGTCAAAAGTTTGAAAGGACAGTAGATACTGTGTCTAGATAGTGCTGTAGCATGCTGTAGCTGTATCGGGAATTTGCAGTGGCGGCCAACTTGAATGTGTTCGCCTGAAACTGGCCATGGATTCCCGGTGGGTCTGCTCCGGGAGATCACAGCTGAGCATCATTGAACACAACAGCATGGTGCCACGCTACACCTTCGCCCAGCAAAATGGTCGGTTGCTCATCCTCCTTCCAAGATGGTGCAGCTGGTGCAACCAGAAATAGACAACTCTCAATGCACCACAGGTTGCAAATCAATCCAATGATGAACCTCGGCTTCCTCACTGTCACTCTTATCCTATGCTGGGACGCTGTCCTCGATGGTCTGTGCCTCCTTACTCTTCGAGCTCTCCCAATCTGGTCAGGGCGGCCAGGAAGCAAGTGGCACGGGTATGCAATGAATTGTTTCACATGTGGGTACTGTATCTGGGACCAAAAGGTGCCAATGGTGTGAAAACATGTGAAAAATATTAAAGTACTGTACGTATACTAATCAGGACGTAGCATCTTCATACAAAGCGTTCCAACCCGGATTCCCATCCAGAAAAGCAGATCTCATAATTCTCACGGTTCACAAAGATTCTCTTTATCAATTTTGGTCCTTCCTTTGTGCACTTGTCTTCTCAACAAATCTAATCCATGCCCAAAAAGTCAATGTCTCCCACCTGAGCTGCTGGAGCTCTGATCTTCGCTTTCACTCTCACTGCTTGAGCTGTCTGAATCGCTCTCATCACCTGGATCTAAAATGCGGTCTACAAATATCACTGGGAAAGAACTTTGCGATATTTTTCGCTGTTTATGAGCAAAAAGGGAAGCTCTTTAGTTGCGGTCCGGGTTCCTGTTTTGCTGGCCAAGAGGCCTGCACCACCAATGAGGTTTCGGCCGGGACTGAAGACAAACCTCACGCGGCCTGCAAGAGTCTTGTCCTGGGTCACACAGTGATGATTATGACCTGGTTTGGTTTTGAATTCATTGAATTTGATCCATTGCCCAATCCTTGTCCCTGTTGCAGTTTCTGGTGGATGGAGAGGTTTGCATCCATCTTTTGGCACAGTGCAACAAAATCCGAAACTGTAACGGCACACCAACAAACAATCAGCTCCTCGTTCAAGTTCACCTTAGTGTCTCAAGAAACTCCAAAGAAGCTAACTTCGAAGAACAAACGTTGCAGTTGAAAGGCTCTGTTCTGGTCAACGATGGATTGGTCTGGCCACGCAAAAATCTGCTCAACAACCAACATCTGCCTGCAATCCAACATGTTTTTCTGCTTCCTCTCGAAAGTCCTGATGCTAATTCATTTTTCGTGAATTCGTCCTTGCTTTGTCGGTTGATTGCAAGTGAAGTGTGTGACTAAACAACAAAAATATAGTCAAATGTTCTCTTAAGGGGAAGGAACTGTGGCCTTGACAAGAGTTACTCCAGTAGTGTCCAGAATCCGTACAGCCACTCACATCTTTCTCTGCTGGTGAATTGGGCAGACTCAGAATAGAATGCACAAATAGAATCAAATAGATCCAAATGACAAAAGAATACCAAAGCCATGAAGTCCGGAAAAGTGACCATCATCGGCTGAAGACTTGAAAAGCCTGGAGTGATGGAGGAGCGCCGTAGCCGCGCTGCCTCCATCGTCCAGGCCCCGCTTTTTGTCCGAATCTCCAAGATTTTCAGCTTTCAGCGATGGAGCTCAACTTTTGAAGACTTTGGTCATGGTAGGCCCTGGTAGGCTTGGAATTCACCCAAAGGCGCTATGTCATAATTATGTGGGGATAACACGGGGATAAATGAGAAGATCCAAGTAGTGCCAGGTGCTCAGATTGCCTCCTGTTGTTCTCTAGACTCTGCCACCTTCTCCTCCCAACCTGCAGCTGATTGCACTGGGCAATGGGAGAGGTGCCCAACGGAGGTTCACAATGATCGAGACGGCAACCACACAGGAAATCCACAAAGGGAAGTGTGTTTCGACCAAGCAGCTCTTATTAAACTCCGCTAGCGCCCCTTCCATGGCAGCAATCTCTTGCTGTGCTAATCCCATCTCCTTGCATGGCGCTATCGAATTTCGTACTCAGGACTGTTAAATACCTCCTCATTCCTCAATAGTCTATTCCCAGTCCGAACTGGAAATGCAGATGCAGCTGTCTACGGAAGCTGGCCAGCCTATCTCGACCTAGTGTCTACCTGATCAAACCGCACAGCCAATGCAAACAAACTGCTGCAGCCACCAGCCTTGATGGAGTCTGCATCCGGCATGACGCCACCTGCAGCTTTTCCAACCATACCTTTTGGGACCCTAAATGTGACACGCCGATGATTGTTGGGGTGACTGCGAAGCAACCAGGATTCAACACCTAGCTATATAAGAGTCTGTTTGAAATTGACCTGCTCAAACTGCAAGATTTTTTACAAGAGCAAACCCAGACTGGATGAAACACTCATGGATCTGCATTGATGAATCTTGCAGTCTTCACACTTCTCCCAGAAATTCAACAGAAATGCAGCTTCATTGTCAAATTGTGTCAATCTCTAAACCCTGCCGCATTCTAAGGTTTCCTCCAGGCTCTCGTGAGCCTTGCATCGCTTCAAACATCTTCCGCAGCTTTTCGTTCTCTTCTCGCAGCTCGCGCATAAGACGCTCCTCTGCCAGGAATGCTTGGCTTCCAAGAGGGTGAAAAAACATGCAAAACATGCAAAAAGCGCCAAATATATCAAAATCACATCTCCCGTGCCAAACATTGCCAAACTATCATCATAAGACCCCCGAACATGTCTGAGCCAACATGCAAAACCAAACAAACGTGAAACAGGTGTCGAAACTCTTACAAGCCATGCTTTGCTCGTCGCTGCTAAAAAAGTTTCCTGGCCTGAGGGTTCTCATTCGGAACAGCAACATTCCTTGCTAGTGCAGCAGGAATCAACAAGCGCGTACACTTGCGTGTGCACAGATATGGCTTGCTTTGTGAAGTTCCATGCTGACACTCTTTCAGACCCTGATCTGGAACTCAAAGAGGTGCTATTTTTGCACACTGAAAACACAGCGGGAGGTGTAGAAGTTTCCTGTTTCTTTCAATTCTCTTGAGACCGCAGTACAATGAATCAAGTGCTAGCAAGCTAGGTCCAGCTAGCTACATCTGCCTTGCACGCGTTCATTTAAATTAGTTTGAGTCAACTCAACCTCGTTCGTTTTCTTCTCCGGGCCAAATCCTTTAGAATCCAAACATCCAAAAAGGAATTGACTGGATTGCCACCAGTCTCAATCCCCAGACCAAATTCTCGCCAAGGTGCTTGATCTTCTTTGCCCGATCAGCATACCGCAATGTCGACAGCGTTTCTTCATGATTGGAAGATGCAGGAGAAAGAGCGCAAATCCTGCAGATCGTCAGCAAGTCCACGTCTGAAATGAATGGCTGTTAAACCAATGCATCCTCATTGACTACCAAGCAGCAGCTCTGATGAGGCAACTTGGATCGACTTGGATTGTCAATGCCCCACTCCCCTCCCCGCGGTCATGATGGTCTTGCTAGACCCGCCCAATGCGTTCTGCAGAAGCCGTGTGAGCTTTGAATCTCTGTAAGGTATCAAGACCTGAGTCCGAAGCCAGCTTCTCAAGACATCTATATGAGTATCAAATTGCGTTCCTAGTGAAACGAACTGAGGTGCTGAGATTGATACTAAATACACAAACAAGACTGCTAAATTGTCAGAGGAGCAACGGCATTATCGTTCAAGTCGACATTGCTCATGACAGATTCAATCACCAGATTTAGGACAGAACAGTTCCAAGTTTCCATTGACTTGGGAAAAGGCACATTCTTCTTCTTCTCAGATCCTCTATCAGCCAGCTTTTCAATCACATTTCCTTGGTCACAGCTCCCGGATGGACAGAGCAGCATGCTCATCTCCGCAAAGCCAATTCCATGAATACTGAGATACTGCGGCAATGCTGACATGTATCACTCAGCTTCCTGCGAGGCTTCAGTCTAGTTTGGGTGTGCCTCGAGTGGTTTTTCAAATCGTTGTGCCTCCAAGTAGCCCAATGCGCTCAACGATTTGTTGATCATCGACCCTTCCTTCAAGCGGTCTCCAGTCGCACCAGTCTGTGCAGCCTGGAGAGATGATTTGCTCATGGTCTTCGAACAAAGGGTTGTTTGGCCAATGCAAGCAATGTGAGGATTCAAGGTCCAGTTGTAGGAAAGGAAGTACCCAAAAGTCAAAGAACACCATCAAGAGCATCATTTGCATGACATCCACATTTACGAAGTCACTAAGGTCCTGCCAGCCACTACCTGGGTTTCGTTCAAAAATCACGTGGAACACTGGTGGCCAAAACCGCCTTCTCACTGCCAGCAAGGTCAACCTGTGTCAAAGCACAAATCATACAGTGACTGACAGTGACTCGTGACTCAAGAGGCAGGAGGTCTACCAGCAATTCCCACCCAACATGACAGCCAGACAGCCAGAATTTCCTACAGTACCAGTGTAACGAAGCCCCGGGCGCAGATTAAGACTTTCCATTCTGCGGCTGTCTCTGTTCTGTCAAGTTGCCAAGTTGATCATGGACACAGTAGCAGAGCCATTTGTCACCGCCTTAAACATCAAGATCAACAGAACAAAGTGAACAAAGTGTGCAGTAAATTTGCCCCGGCCCACACTGAACTGTGTTCGATACCTCAAGTCAGATCTGCTGGCAGTTTCAAGTGCCTTGCCTTGAACTCGATGATCTGCACTGTATGTGCACGACTGGAGGTTGCATTCATCAGAGTAGATCCTACTGTTCCTCAAAAGCTGCAAAACATGATGCAAAGATCTTGAGAGTTGCCTCAAACACAAATTGTTCCACAGGATGCACTTTCATAGTCCTTTAGATTCTCTTCATATGCAAGAGAACTCAAAAGACCGCATCAGTATCGCGTGGTGTAAGAATGATCCAAGGATCGATGGTTGGTGGCTTCCTCAATGGTCGTCTCGATTGCCTCACGTGTCAAACATCTACAGTATGTACCTTTCGATGTGTCTGGATCAATTACTTCAGGAAAGATTGGCAAAGGATTGGCAATCTCACGGAGAATCTCATCGAGAAATATCGAGAAGAGCGCGAAGTCATGTCGGAAGTTTAGTTGAATTGCAAGGGGATGCTCCCGAAGAACAAAACTCCGCAAGGCTTTTCCTGACTATGTTACTATATGTTACTATGTGGAGGCGGAAGCAACATGTCGTGTAGGCTGAAGCAGTACTCACCTCGTAGTTCTCCACGGGTCTTTTGATTACCCCATCTATGTAGATGCCAAGAGCCTCTCACGCTTGGAAATGCATATGAAATGCATATCAATTTCCGATACATGGCCACTGACTGCCACTGAGTGCACTCTATGGGCGCTCTTTGTTCAGCAACAATCACTCTGGATGCGACTCAAACCCACCTCACCGAAATTTTTATTTATCTATTTAATATATTATATATATATATATATTAGGGCACATTCGGGTGAACCGCCGTGCCTTCGACTCTCCTCAGAGAGAGATGGAGAACTAAGATTGTGGCACTCCCTTTACTCGCGACAGCTGGGGAAGACATAACTTTGACCATTTTTGACCTATATTCTTCTGGCTGGCTGGAAGAAGAAACTGAAACCATTTCTCTCGCATGACTTACCAGCATCATCAGCATCGCCAGGACCACGACTCGTATTTCACATGTGGTGAACATAAGGATCTGAGGGGGATCTTGAGTGACAAAACGCAGCTCTGCAAAGACAAAACCGGAACCTCCATGGACGATCAAAATGATTTACAATAAGTGAACCTCGTGTATATCAAACATATCAGACTTTTCAGACAAGTGACGGACTTCCAATCCTTTCTTCGGTCTAAGCCCCACATCGATCAGCAGATCTTGGATCGCCTTCCCAGCTCCAAACAGCGTCTACGTTCGTCAACGTCCGTCAATCTTCGGCCCATGCCAAAACATCTGACACCCCTAGCGCCTCGTTGTAGATCTCAATCATGGACACAGTCACCTCGTACCTTGGACAGTGACAGTGAGAGTACTTCTACATTCTACAAATACAGAATATATCAGAATATATAGATATAATTTAATCGAAATTGATGGCTCGAAGGCTCAAAGCCAAGGCAGACAGCCAAATCCCCCGCCAGGAGACCGTTTCTCCGGGTCTTTCTCATTGCCAATCCGGCTAAAGATCTCCTGGCCGCAAAGTCTTGAACTGTGAGTTGTGGCAACTAAAAAAGGAAGTGGTGAAGTGGAAAAAGAAATCTGCTCAGAACGAGAGCAAATAAAACTGATGCAAAGTGTCAAAATGTCCTCACAAGAGATCGGGACAATGCCTTTGTTGTAACCATAGCCTGGCCAGTGATTCTGGGTACCGACAAGGTCAATCATTCTACCTGGAGCCACTGGTGATTGCTAAGATTACCAATACGCCAAGCCATCGTCTGGTAAGTAGCCATTCCAAGTCAAAGACCGGGCAACAGGTTGTTGGATATCGATGAATATCGCATGCTCTGACTGCGCTTTGTGGAATACACTGAGCATGGCATATGCGAGCTATGCACTCCGTCATGCTTGAGACTTATAACTCGCAGCTTCAAATTCTGTGCTTGGCAACGGTGAATTCCACCATCCTATGATCCAAACAGGACGCAAATCTAGATCTAGTTTGCCCACCTACCATGGAGTAGCTTTTGCCAGCTCCTGCGCTCTTGACACAGCTTCGTAAGATGTTTGGTGTCCAGTTTTCAGGCCAAAGGATTCCAAAGGATCCCTGCAAACAACACTGCAAACTCAGCACATCAGAGTCTCAGAGCCACGGCTCGCAGGGAGACCCTCACTCCTGTTTGGCCATATGCAAAAAGACAGCAATGGAACCCATTCCATGCGTTGTCAAGAACTCTTTGGCCAAAGGTGTCAAACCTCAATGTGTTGCGTCTTTTTCAGCTCTAGCATCCCTAGTTTTGTCCAACATGTTGATCCAGTGAGTTCCTTCCAATGTGGTGAGTACCGAGTCCGGCTAAGCACCAAACACATACCTCTGGTCAGCATACTTGCCTCGGTCGTGCAGCAATATGCAGCATCCCCTTTGGTCTATCACTTAGACACAGAACCAAACATGTTCAGCTAAAACAAACTACAGGTAATTGCCTGGGAATTAGAGGAAGAATAAATTTGTGAACCACACTGTTTTGGATGATAACCACAGAGCAAGCCCCAACACAGAAGCCTGCCGCACATCAGTAAAACCCTGCTGTTGTTTTTGCTCAAATTTTGGCCGAAAAAGTCGGCCTCACTTTGCCCCAAAGTGGAATCAGAAGAGCATTTCCGCACAAAACGACCGTTTACCCAAAGTGTCGTGCAAAATGTTGATGCACGTGCTGCGTTTCAGATTGCCAACTGGTCTTACTGACTTCACATGTCTCTTCCAATATCTTGCATCCCGGCAACCTACATTCTCTTGCTGTACCCCTGGATGCAGAAATGGTCTCTGCTCTGGTCATCAGCTGAGAGTCTGCCAGGCACAGGCCGCAAGTATCCAGTTCCATCATCTTCGAAACCATCATGACCTGACACTTTTCAAGGGCAAGCAGCCCTTGAAGACACTCTAAAGGAAACATCTCAACACAAGTTCTTTGTGTACGAACCAGGCAAGTGCCGATAGTGATCAATAGTTTCATTCAACGATGCCAAGGCACTCCAAAAAGATTCGTCGAAAGTGAACCTGGGCGATGATTTTACAGTGAACCAAGAGAAACATTGAGAAACAGAACAGGTGTTTCATCGACTCATATAAAATAATCATACAAAATGATATAAAATGTAGATAACCCAGTACACCAGTCACAATCAAACACCACACTCATATGTGTATAATATATTATATAAATGTGTATTTATGTATATAATTGTATACATATATTTATTACTACATAGTAATCATAGTAGTATATTATATATATACATATATATCATGTATGATAAGAATGTATCGTATACAGTACAATGCACAACTCAATGAGACGCACACGTCCAGGATCTCTTGTTGTATATGAGGCATTCGTTTTCGGAACAAGCAACGTTTTCTCGTCTCCAGTGTCAATGTTTCGGATCCGGGTGGTAGGGCCTTCCAGCTGACTGGACAGAGGGACGACCCTATGGCTGGAGTGCTTAAGCAGTCGCTGTCATCGCTGCCATGGCCATGTCATGCCTTCCATGTCAATGCAAAGCACTGCATCAAGATTTTGTTCGCGGTCATTGAAAGGCCTCCCAAGAGCCAAGATCTCACTCTATCAACAAACGTGAAAACCGTCCAACGAAACACTTGTACACTGTTGATCACAACTGAAATCTGCATCAAGTTGACGTTCAAATCAGTCTTCAAGGTGGTTCAGGCCTCACGCGCACACCCACCACGACTGCTTCACCGGCGGCCATGATTCACTACAAAGCCATCTATTGTCAAGCAGTGTCAAAATGTGTTTGCAGATCATGATCTCATTGTGCTAATTTGTGCTAGAACTGGCATTCCTATCTCATGTGAACGATTGATTTGACCATATGCTCAAAAGGCTCATGGCCTGAGAGATCACAATACAAATGTCGAAATTTAGCACATCACTGGTGCTTCCAATTTTCTGGCATGCAAAGCTCTGAACAAAAAGAAAAAACAAATGGTGTTATAGTGTGATTTGCGCTATTCCAACCCTTCCCCCACCGATGATACCCATGCCTATTTCATCCTTTGTCTACGCTCTGGAACTAGAAATCCCGATTTCCCCCAGCCGCGTCAAATTTTCCATTTCATGCACATTACTCTCCGTGCTCTGCAACCAACGCGGCGATGCAATCTGGGATTCAGCATCACTTCTTTGGTGGCGAGGTTGGCGGCCCACAGTGGCGAAGTCTGAAAGCATGTGCCGGAAGGAATTAAAGTTTGTCAAATTGTGCATAGGGCATAGAGCACAAAGGGAATGTTTTTGTTCAAGAACAAATGTACTTTGAGGTTGTGCGGTTTTACTCACAGGGAATCAATCAGAGATGGTTCGGCTACATAAGAAACATACTCGAAACAGAAATCAAGACCTCTTCACGGAAAAAACCGAACAGTTGAGCTAAGCGTCACAATAATAAAAACACGGTCATAGCCAAAATGCTTGTTTTGGATTCGTATACATGGGAAAAGAAGGGATGAGAAGCTTTTGTTCTGCCAACAACGTTGCGGAGGACACAGTCAATGAAGCAAGGGCCACGTAATGCAGGGCCGCTGTGTGTGGGTTTGCACCCCAACCATGCCGGACGGCATTCTTGGGCAGCACCTGAACTGCAATGGACGGCTCAATCCTTGTTTGGTCAACACCAATTTTTTCACATACAGAGTTTCACATTACAAACCCAACACATGGAAGTCTTTTCTGAGAGTGATGTCAGATCCGTGGTTTGCAATTTCCTTGGGTGATCCATGGTGATCCTACGCCACACGATGGAACTCTGGTCCATTTGTCCTCAGAAGCTTTGAAGGGATTCTTCTGACTGTTTCACCACCGTGAAACGAACCGCATTTCCACAAGGATCGTGCCGTCCATGGCGTTCCTTTCAATGAGCGATCTGAAGCTAACAAGTGCCACTGCCAGCATGAAGATTGCTTCTCTCATCTTGCCAAACCATGCGCATTCGAACTTTCTAATGTCATGTTCAAACAAGCGAGAAGGCATAGACAAACCAGGCTCAAAACGAGAGCAGTCTTGGACCCCAAAGGTAAAACATGAGGATTCCAGTCCATCGTAGTGTACTGATCTATACTGGATGTAGTCCATGCCGTTCATGCCCTTGTTTCCTCGTTCCACATGTAATGTTTGCTGCTAGGTGTCCCACCTGATCGCTACGAAGCCTCAACACTAAGAAAACAAGCCACCACGTGTATCTGTGTGTGTGTTGCACCGTGGTGCCGAATCAAGAAATTCCACAAGACCCATCAAGACCCATCAAGACCCATCAAGACCCATCAAGACCCCATCTCCTGGAGATCCTCTATTTTATTTTCCTATTTCTTTTTTTCCCAATGTGGTCCCTATGATCCGGACACGTCGGAATGTCTTCGCTGGCATCGGCATGTTGGCCATCGTGGTTGAGCCCAGGCCGAGCAAACGCTGCTGGATTAGCACCAGCATCCACTGTAATCAGGGAAGTCTCAAGAAACGAATGCGTGGATCTGGACTCTGAAAAAGAAGGTCCAATTCAGTCTACCCACCCCAAACTATCCCAAACTTCTGTGCCTGATCATCCCTCCAGAAATAAGAAGTTATCAAATGTTGCTGATTGTCGCTCATTCATCTCATTCTAACCTTGGAATCTCCACTGCAGAACATCCAGCCACGTTGGCACCGGCCGCCACATTTGTGGCGTCACCACAGGCACCACCAAACGCTACTGGCGCCTGTGCCTGAACTCACCGGCCAGGCCAAGAGTAGCGGCGTTTTGCAGAGAACTTGCACATGGCGATGAAGATGCCGCGAGCCAGGCGGTGAAAGCGAGGCTGTGAAATTATGTAAAAAGGTGCAAACATGAACAAAAAAAGATACTGACCATGGATGACGGATATCAACAATGGAAGAATGGATAAAGTTCATAGAAGGCACGTGAAAGCGCCAGCATCTTCATATCTTCTCTGCAAAGGGCCAAGCAGAGTGCTGCACTGGCAGACTGGCTCCGCGCTGGAGCTGAGTGGTAGATATGTATTCGAATGAATCAGCTAAGAACGCTTAGGCTCTAGAGGCTCTGAATTGAATCTCAATGATCTCAACCAGGTCTTCAAATCAAAAAAAAACAGCTCTCACTTTCTACGTGTTGCAAAGCAAACTCTACCATTACTGGGTCGGACCTTCACCTTCGGCAAGAAATGCCAAACCGCTCACCTTTCGGAAAGGTGGGCGACGTTTTCACCCTCCCAGCTCCAATCCACGCAGCTGGAGGTGCAAAGCACACCTAGAGGGTCAACGGAGGGGAGGGCGGTTTGGGTTTTGTCAAACCCTCAGAAGGGTCATGGAAGTCTTACCGTGAAATCCCACTAGGCTTCTTTGTTGGGGTCCGCCATCCTTTGCAACAAAAATTGCCAGAAACTTTGCTATTTTGGTGGACCCCTTCAAGTGGAGATGCTGCCAAAACCATCAGGAATCATGACGTAAGAAGCATTTCCATTGACCAAAGACCCGCACAACTCCTAAATCTCCTAGTTAGCGTGCTGAGATTGCCCTTTCACACTTTCATGAGCCCACCCAGACACAGGCCTCACTGCAATAGTGGGGTGATGTCTCGCGAATCCAGCAACTGGTCAGAAAGGCATCACCAAGGTCAGCGTTTTGGGCTGGACCATAAAAATCACAACGACAAATGCAAGAGGATGGGGAAAATGAACTGTCACTGATTCCTGTTGGAGAATTGATTCATCATTCATTTCAAACTGCAGCGCCTCATTCTGTACCTCCGATTCTTCGATATTCCCCCACATCATCTGTCCTGCCTTGGCGTCTCTTTGCGCAATCTCCGGATGGAACTTCCAGCACCTCAGCTCTCCAAGGGCCACAGCATGCCGCAGCTTGATGGCCTAGCTGGGATCCCAGACTCTGCATAGATGTAATTCTGCAGATTCCTCTTTGTTGGTGTAAACCTCAGATATCGGAGCTGGTTCGGGCCACCAAACATCAACTTCACAGCCAAATTCGGTGAAGAGAAAGAAACCAGAAGCAAAAGGCTCAACAGCGCCCACTCTCCAAGAGTCCAAGTGCTAAATGGCTGGGAGTATTGGTCTAAAGTAGCATTTCCAAATTTGGGTGGTCCAGTTCCATCCTATGAAAATCCAAGAGCACGTCCACATGAAGCCAGAAGTCTTTGCATGTTTCCATTCCAAGGTGCCTATCGAACGCCCAGTCTATGGGCGCTTCCGAGATGGGCTCGTCGTCAGGCATGTGCAGGGTTTCATAATATCTGGCCGCGATTCACCGGTTGTTGGACGAAACCTTTTGGGAAACTGACAACAAAATACATATAATACATTACATTACTGTATATAAATTTATATAATACATTGACATCCGAATGCACGTGTCCCAACACTTCCTGCCGCACCCTAGCGTCAAGCAGTCGGCGATCGTGGCCCTCTTGGTGGGGTTGAAAGTGAGCCTTGGCTCTCACGTCCCAAAGCAGCGGTTAGTCAGTCGAGGCAGAAGGGTCGCAGTGCGCCCTCTGGAGCGTTTTTCACTTAACCCAGTGAAGTCGTGAAGATTCTTCTGGGTGTCTGCACATCCTCTCGATTGCCTCGATGCCAGCATCTGTTGCCTGCGAGGAAATGGAATGTAATGTCCTTGATTTCTTTTCCTGGGAAAACGGGAAATCGCATGGCACTTCTGCTTTCCACAGCATGCCTTCGGGTAGATGGATTTCCAGCTCTGCTTGGTTGCAGGCGGCACCTCACTCTGCTGCACACCACCCACTTGTGGCGAAATTCCCGCAACTCACCAGCAGTGTCAAGCTCGGCAAAACTTGGATCCTACTCACGAAAAAGGAATGGAGGTCTGCAGGACTCATCAAGAACGATGCTCCGAAGCTGACCCTGGCCTTCTTGATGAAGTTCCTTGCGGGGCTCCGAGGAGGCAGCCACGTTAGATCGTCCTCAAAACCGCTTTCAGATGACCGAATGTTTGTGGGAGATCACATGTCAAACCCCGCGGCACTTATATAGGGTCAAGAATGGCAAATCCCAAACCCAGCCATGACGAGAAAACATCCGAAACGTGTCTTAAGGGAAATAGATGAGAAAAAAAGAAACAAAACGCCCCCGGGTCAGAGAGCAGGCACACCACAGAAATTGAGAGGGAAAACGTGACATCTGTACGCCAGGAAAACACCACTCGCGGGTCGGGAGAAGGCACACCACAGAAATTGAAAGGGAAAAGAAGGGCCAAGCAGGGACCCTAGCTGTTCAGCATGGAATCCCGCGGCAAGCAAACCACTGAAAATGCTAGAAGCGCATCGCGGGATGCTCAGAACTCCAACACGCCGAAAAGAAGTTGCCGCCAGCAAGATGGTAGGCCCAAATGAAAATAAGGATGAAAAAATAAGGATGAAAAAATTAGGATGATTTAAGATGATTTGCCTGTTTTTTTCCATAGGGACGTATTTCGATCCAACTCCGTGAAACGGGCCTCTGTGGGAGTACCTAGCACAGCCAAGATCTTCTTGATCTGGTCCAGGTGATCCTCGCACCGTGCCCAGACTGGCGCCCGCATCCCCGTGACACACACCTAGCACTCCTAGCTCGTGGCGCATGGGCAGTTTCCATTGCAATTGAAAAGTGATGCGAGTGATTCGAGTGATGTGTGTGAACTTAATCTTAATCAGAGCACAACTGATGACTCTGACGTGAAGGAGAAAGTGCATGTCAGATTCCATTGTTGCTCAGAACCTCTCAGACAACCACAATGATTCAAGCTGTTTTTCTCTATTTTTGCTGCGCCCAATCCACTGAAGACCCTGAAACCCTAGGTCCTTTCCAGTGAAGATAGGCTTTCGACCAATCAATTCACAAAGGATGCACCTCCAAAAACGTCGCACTGGTGCACGTGCGATGCACCACAGGTTGGCAGTTACCATGACCATTTCCGCCCACCAATAACATTTCTATCCATTTCTATCCATTTCTATCCATCTCTATCCATTTCTATCCATTTCTATCCATTATAGTTTTGGTGGTTATATAGGTTATATAAACATATATATATATATATATATTTACATACAAATAATTATATCCCATTAAATCACTATTGAACCACTATTGAATCCCTGGTCCCTGATGGTTAAAATCCCCATTTTTAATCACCCCTCTGGAATTAAGCTCCCGCTCGGCGCACCCAACTGACCACACATCGATGGACTTGGTGTACTCTGAAGCCAATAGCACGACCTGCCCGTCGGACACCGATAGGATCCGATAGGCCACCAGAATGATGAAATGACTCGACATCTCTGAGAATCTATGAATCTCTACTGAACACTTTTTTACATGTATTGAACATCTATTGAACCTCTATTGAATATTCTACTTGATTAATTTGTGATTAATGATTGTCTATGATCTTTGTGAATAGAACTTCGACATACCAAGTCCCTACTTGCGATTCATGCTTTCGATCAAGCTTTCGGGAACTTGGAGCTTTGTGACAGAAACATTACTACTGCTGGCATCATCAGCCAGGGATGCTATGGCTGATATGCTCAAGATTCAAATTTGGGATATGCTATGCCACTGCTACTTTTTTCCTATGGCTCCAGAATGGAAGTCATGTTTCCCTAACCGGTGGTACCCTGGTACCAAGAGCCGTTCCTCTGGAGCACGGTACCATCTGGTCACCACATAGTCAGTCAAAGTGGGATCATCCTGCCGTTGTGAGTCAAATATGCTAAGCCTAAACTGAGTTTTCCACGGCAGAATCCAGCAGTATTCATGCATGTGTTCATGCCACCTGCCGTGGGGTGAGGGATCATATATATATATATATGTATATATATATATATATGGTTGTTGATCAAAATTCCTTTATCCCGGAACGGCCACTCTTCGCGAATAAAAAAATTACTTTCGCGAAACTTTCGCGAACTCCATGTTTATCTTTCGCGGGGCCCATGTTGGCCAACAACACCTCTTCTGAAGATTCGTTCACCACCTGCCAAATTGCGCCAGAGAATCACGGATCACTTCTTGGTAGCCTTTTAAACATACAGCTAGCATCACGGAATCCCTTCTCAGGACAGATTTTTTTTGCAAAGTTTACTGGCCCACCCCCTTCAACATGCACTTTGACTTTCGCCCGCTCTTTCGCATAACTTTCGCGGAACTTTCGCGAAAATATCCCTATTCACAGACCCCGGCCATCAGCAGGGGGTGCACTGAAGGAAAAGCGAAGACCAGGGACCTTGGTGTTTGGCTCTCGCAAAGCCTTACTTTTGGAAACTTGGCTACTGCTACTCGCATTCTCTGGTGCCCTTCTCCTGCCGGACCCCGGGCGGCAGTGGGTGGCAGCCCTTTACATATAATGATTATAATACCCAACTTTCGCGAAACTTTCGCGAAATACAATTTTACTCTCGCGAACTCGAAAAAAAACTTTCACGAGGGTTTCCAACATAACATGCACGGCTTTCGCAATTAAAACTCCTTACAAGGACCTTTAGATCGATCACCTATATATATTATATATCATATTAGATATTATGTGTATATATATATATATATTTATTACACATATTTACACATAGGCATCAAAAAACAAAATGGAGCCTCTAGTTTTCTATGGCCCTTGCAACAGTTTGGAGACGAAACCGAACATTTCTGTGGTATGTCCCTTGGTCCTTCCGTCTTTTGGTGCAACCGCAAAAAGAAACTTCAGACCAACCTAAGGAACAATCCTAAATAAGTCTTAAATGACACCTAAACCCTAGATCAACCGTAAATAAATGCTAAACTAACCTTAAACGAACCCTAAATAAACCTCAAGCTGCTCCTACAGAAACCATAAACCAACCTTGAATAAACTTAAAACAAACACGTAAACAAACCAGAAACCACCCCCCAAGAAATCCTAAGCCAACCCTAAATAAACCACACACATTACAAACGAACCCCTACATAAGTCCAAAACCAACCCTAAACTATCCCTAAACCAGCCCCAAATAAACTCTAAACGAACCTTAAACGAAAGCTAAATCAGCCTAACCCAACCCTAATTAAACTCTTAACCAACCTAAAATAAATCATACACCAAAGTAAACCGTAAACTAATTTCACACAAACCCTAAACCAACCTCGAATCATTTGAAATAACATTTGGATAACCTTTAAACCAACCCTATTTAATCCTTAAACCAACCCCAAAAATCAATCAAACCATTCTTAAGTAAGTTTAAACGAAACCTAAATAAACCCTAAACACAATCTAAAACCTAAAGGAACCCTGAGTAAACCCTAAACCAAGCCTGAATAAGTCTTATACAAACAAAACCCAAACCAACCCTAAATCAGCCCAAACTGACCCTAAACCAACCCTAAGTCAACGATAAATAAAACTCAACATAGCCCGAAAATGATCCATACACCGACCATAAATAGCACCTAAACCAACCCTAAATAACCCCTCAACCAACCCTAAGTAAACCCTAGACAGAGGACCAGAGGACCAAGGGACCAAGGGACTAGAGGAGCAAGGGACCAGAGGACTAGAGGACCAGATTCAAAAACCACAAGATTTGAAAGGAGCCAAAATACTGCACCAGCGCAGGAAATATGAATGTTTATTGGTCCCTTAAATATGTTTCTATCGATGCCTCAAATATGAAATGTTTGATGCCTTAAATATATTTTGTTTAACCCCATGCCCCTGACGTGTCACTCTACTTATAGCCAACAGCAACAGACCCGCCAACAACCAGTGTCCTCATCAGTGCCAAGGCCACGCGCTAAACCGAAGTCGCAAATTTTCAGGTCACAATTTTTGTTCACCTGGCTGCATAAGGTTACTTGCTGGGGCGTTGCGTCAAATGCAGTCACGTGAGCCAATCAACAAAACTGATCAAAACTGCCCTTTGAAGTGCAACTGTGAGGTTGAAAAAAGCCTGAATTTAAGAGACTTCTGGAGATTTGGTCTCCTGCAAAAAGAAACAAATATGTGAACTTTGACCACAAATCACAAGCGAGCAGGTGAAGGGAATCGGCGCACCAAGATGTTTGCTGGCTTCAGGTCGCGATGCACCACATTGGCACCTCAGTCCCCCCGGACTAACCTATGGATGTTCAAGCAAGGGGTGCTAGTTATCCAAACAAAATGGAGTCCAATGATGATAACAACGTAACATATACGTATATATATATATATATGTGTTATATATATATATATGTTATTGCGAAAGCAATGGTGTCAATCACCTTCAACGGACCTTTGTCGCCTCTGTCGCGGGCATGGCGTCGTTTCGCCTTTGGATGGGATAAGGGCCCCTTGCATTTGGACCATAGTGTCACGGCCAACTGGAGTCAACCTGTACATTGCTATGAAATGTGTTTCCACAGCTCCCAAAATTCTCTTTGACTCCAGTTCTTCTGATCTGATCGACACGTTGACCCTGTGCTCTGGCATTCTCTCGCACGGCCAACTGGGTGTCTTCAGCTTGAATTCTAAAAGTGCCCTGCTGCATTAGTTTGTACAAAGGGCCATTGTTTCCTTTGATTTTCGTCAGTCCATCAGCAATCATAGCAGGGTGATCTATCCACCTCACATGGCCTTGTAGATGATATAGGTCCTCTCGGATGATCTGAATCTCTATTGCAGTTCTTCGGTCTTGACCTCCAACTGTCTCCTTGGAGAGATAGTCGAACAAGCTTTTGGCATCCACAATGGCCAAGCTCTCCTTGAGCATGTCCTGGTGGTGCTCTGCCCCAAGAACCAGTACTTCCTCAGCACTCAAACGCTGCTTCCAATCGCGTATCTTGAAGTCATTCTCAGTGAGCTCCAAAGTTAGGACCATGATCCATAAAAGGTCACCAAGCCCCCTGCTCAAACTTTGGGTTTCCGCTGCCAGGGTAGAGTTCACTACATGCTGAAGTCGGCCGCTTCTCCAACTGACTATGTTGGTCTTAACTCTCATGCCATCTCTCAAACCCTTTTCATGTGCTATTACCATTTGACCCCCTTGAGAATGATATCCATTGTTGGCAAACGAAGCATCTGTGACAACGCTGAGTTTCATACTTTTCAAAGGCTGCAAAACTATGGCAAAACTTGCGGTCTCTTTCAGTCCTTTCACCGTGTCATTGATGGCAAGGATGTCCTCCACAAAAAGATTGGCAAGTTTGGAGGAGTGCAAAGAAGATGGGCCCGCAGCATCTGGTCGGCCTTCTTTCGATAGCCAGTTCAAACTTCCGCATACGGCGCGAGCTTTAGCTACTTCCTCACTAGTCGCCTTCTCTTTTCGCTGACTTGCACGGCCCTTTTCTAACTGAATAGGGAACAGCCTCTCCTCAATGAACTTCTGCATATCTATTCTAAAAGTACCATCTTTTGACTGCTGAATCCTCCTACCATTGAACGCTGCTCCATGCTCACAGTTCATCAAATCCACATACTTCCCAAAAGTATATATCTCTTGCAACTTTTCCATGAGCTTATGGTGGCGTGCATTTCCAACAGTAAAAAGATCATCCACTTCGATCGCTACAGCCCCTTCCAATTGCCCAGTTTCGTGGTCATGTATCTTCCAAATGCAGGGATCCAACTTGGATTGACGATACCCAAGTTTGGCAAGATCGGCGATCAAACTCTTTCGCCAATGCAGGGGTGCATCCACTAGTCCGTAACATCCTGCCACTATCTGGATGATTTGACCTTCAGCTAGACCTGGAATTCCACCTTCTGGCTGTTGAAAGTAAATGGGACCATTCTTTCTTGTCAAAGGTTGCGACTGGCAAAATGCATTTCGCAAATCTCCTATGGAAGCCCTCATATGAAGGTTGGCAGCAATTTGAAGCAAAACATTGAAGTTGATGGTTGTGATAGTTGGTGCAAAACGTTCCAAGTCAAGAATGTCGGGATCTAAATCTCCTCTAATGCAGATTCGAGACTTCTTCGACGGTGCCTCGCCAGGTTGCTCAGCTGGCTTTCTTCTCCGGACCACCTTAGTTGGAAGAATGCGATCCAGCTTTCCAATTTGACTCAACTCTCTCTTGACTTTCTCACTTTCTTCCAAAGAGAGTACTTTCACAGCTCCACTGGCTTCAATCTTGGCCCACTCGGCAGCATCTGCATTTTTCCAACCCTCCAATTCTTCCGCTGGCTCCTTTTTCAAATCAACTTCATCTTGACCTTTCTTTGCCGCAAGCCAAACATCTAAATCAAAACTGGGTTGCAAATAAAAACATGTCTTCCCAGTCCACCATTCTTTCAAATTTGACCCTTCAGAAACTTTGCTTGTGCTCCCTTTTCTCCATTCATCCTCAAAAGAAAACGATTGGTCATTCTGTTTCCAACCTTCCGTTCTTCGCGTCGAACAAAGTGCCCAACGCGGCACAGGCAAATCTTTGGAGCCCACTGGGTTGTATTGATTCCTTCTCCGAAGGTTGTGATTTCGGATGAGCATTCGTTCTTTGGGTTGAAACGTCCAAAAATCTCCCTTCTCAGGTTTGCTCTCAGGGAACAACTTTCTGTATCGTTCTTCCTGTTCTTTTCGCTCCCATTCTTCAGCATCTTGTTCTGGAGAAATCAAATAAAACTCTGGCTGAAAGGAAAAATAAGGATCGTTCTCTCTGTGGTTTCGGACCCATCTGATAGGCCCTGCACTGGGCGCATTTGGATGCCCATCGAGCCGATGCGCTTGCTGTCGAGATTGGTTCACTGCATCTTGATATGTTTGAGGATTGGATGCAGCGGACATTTCTGGTGGTGCCACCAGCCCTTGTTCTTCTCTTTCCAAACTGTCAGGTTCACCCAAATCTTCTCTTTCCGGCAAATTGACATTTCCATCTCCCAATCCAGACCCACCTCCCGAGGATGTAGGGGACATAGAAGACCTAGTACAAGAAGAAGGTCCACCTCCCGGTGCTGATGCTGGACGGCTCATTTCCCTTTCTGGCTCTTCAATAGAGTCCCTTCTTTCTCTTCCTGCAGGTGTTGGAATGGGTGATTCGGGTGTGTACATTTCTGGCTCAATTTCCTCTTCATTGAAACGCACTCTTTTGGGCGAAGGTTCGCCCAACTCTTCTTCGCCCTCCAGTGGTGGAAAGCTTTCTTGAGTGATGTCCTTGTAACCTGCTCTTTTGGCGTTTCTTTTATATTCTTGTATGAGCTCTCTACATTCTTGCATTACTGCCTCTGCTCCTTGTCTTTCATCTGATGTTGCTTTGCGACACTGCTCACGTGCCACCTTCCACAACTCTCCCATCATGGATACCCAAATGTTTGCTCCGTCCGGCACGATCACTGTGCCTGGTCCAATCCAGGTGGATTTGTTTGAAGCGATTTCATGAATCTCTTTTCCTCCAGATTTGGTCTTTCTTGCTTTGGGCACCCTATAAACGTACACCAAATCACCGGCCTGGAAGTCTTCCCAGACACGAGGACGGCCTTGCAACGCCTTCTTCACTGCCACTTGAGCGTTCACTTCCACAAAGGCCTTCTGAGCGATCGCCCTCATTCGATGCAATCTCTCCATATCGTCCACCAAAGCGCCATCCACCAAGGACACATCTAGATGGTCATCCGAGAGTAGGCAATGTGGTGCACGTGGCCATTGGCCTATCTGCCGTTGTATCGGAGAGAAACCCGATCTGTTGCTGAACCTGTTCTTTGCTTGCTCTACTTCTCTCATCAACGCATCCATTTCTTCATAGGTGGTGATGACCTCCTCTGACCTCGCTTTGTCTAAGATGGCTTTGTAGTGTGCGCCATGTCTTTCGGTACGCCCCTGCTGCCATGGTGCACGGGCTGCCGTCTGGTGGGTGACGATGCCTTTCTTGGCTGCTTCGGTCTGGAAGTGTTGGCAAAATTCTCGCCCTTGGTCGGTGACAATGACTTCCGGTGGTCCAAAGATCCTGAACCAAATCCTTTCCAAGGCTTCCCAGACTTCTTGAGGCTGTTTTCCTTCAAGGCGTTCAGCCATCTGATAGTTGGTTCCCCAATCCAAAACATTCAGGACTGGGAAAACTCCACCTCCTCCAATGTTGGGAACGTACGTCACATCCACGCCTATCACCTTGTTTGGCTGAAAACTTTTTGGCAAGGTGGTAGGTCTCGCAGGCTTCGGGTGTGACTTGGACTCACAAACATCGCAGCGAAATTCTCTGGAAGCCCATCGAATGACTTCCGGTCTGATTCTTCCGGCTCTCATGAACCTGATGAACTCGGCCTTTTGTGGGTGGCCGACATTTCGATGCAACTTCATCACAGCCTGTTTTTCTTGCTCTGTAATCTGGTGAGTGCCTTCTGCTTCTCCACCTTCTACTGGACACATTTCTTCTTCATCGCTCAAAACCTCTTCTGCCAACTCCTCATATTCCTCTTGTAGCTCACTTTCGACCGCCCAAACCTCTTGCGGACGATGTACCGCTCCATCTTTCACCATCTGTCGAACTAGTCCACGAATGATGGCACGACAGAATTCCTGGGTGTATTTCTGAGCCTTCTTGGCCAAACCATGTAGAAGAGGTCTGTGTAGATGGTCTCCGCGACACTTGCGGCTCAACTCCCGTGCCATTTCCTCACTGTTCAACATCAGCCCTGTGGGTTTCTTGTTGAGGTTGATTCCATCCACTTTCAAATTGAATCTGCACATGTCACATTGCACGCGCATGACCCCCTCTAGCTCGGACAACTCTTGCATGCACTCTTCTTCCCAAGACTTCGCTAGATCAGGGTGCTCGAACACGAAGAAGCGTCCTTGCCGGTGCTGCCACTTGGCAGTGCTGGCACATAGCTCTAGATGTTCCAAACCTCCTACAATCAACCTCACAGCTTGACGTATGCTCATTCTGGGAAAATTCCACTCTTGAAGAGGAGAAAATGCAGTACATGGAGGAGAGAGTACAATCAAAAGGGGGCGATCTTCTTTCAGCTGCTTCCACATTTGCTTGACCTGCGCTGGATCACTCAAGTCCCAGCCGGTGACCAAGTCATAGCTTTTTCCTGGCTCCAAACCATGACGCTTGGCATGTGGTACAACTCTCGGAGGTGAAAATACCTCCGCCACCTTTTTGTCACTCAAACATGGAAATGCTGACATTGCCCTTTGAATGGTTCTTCTCTGCCTCCTATTAAACTGGACCTCTTTGCCGTCCTCAAAAGCTTCGGCCAAAAACGTATGTGCATTGGGGATCAACTGAACTCGAACAGGTTCTGGGCCATCAAGAGGAATCAAACCCTCCCGATCCTTCCAAACGCCTTGGAAGACCTGATATTTCAAATTAACATGGAAAACTTCATGTGAATCTCCCAATTGCAGCTTTCTGGCCTGCATCTTCCCTCTTCGTGTACTGCACAAACTCCAGGTGGCTTCAGCTTCACTCAAATGCCGCTCTCCGAAGTCAGGTCCACAACCTCCGTGGTTCCTCCGACAGGTTGCCATGAGCCTGGCATGCTCGGAGTCATTGCACTGCTCGCCTTGGCCTTGGGCTGCATCTGCAGCAATCGTTGAACTTCCGCCTGATCCCACTGGAAAAAGTTGCAGATTTGTCTGGTGCACTTCCAAAACGACCGGCCCTGTGTCGGACCCACCTTCTTGACTAGGAGCTTCATCGCGGGCTCCCCGCATTTGCAGACCACTGTCGGAAATTGCACCGGGACTTGCATGGCCCCCAAAACCGTTGAGGCGCCGGCCTCTGACATCTGTTCCGACCGGTCGGCAGCTGCATTCACTGGTCCTTGTTGAGCATGGTCTTGCATGTTCTTTTGCATTGCCTGTATCAAGGCTTCTTGCTTCAAAGTCTTCTCCCTCATCTCGTTGACCATCTGCTGCATCTGCTGCCTTTCCAGTTGATTCTGCTGTGAGCTGGCTGATTGATGAGAGTTCAGCTCGAGAAGCATTTGCTGCCTCTGACTCTCCACCTCGGCCATCATCGCTTCGCGCATTTCCATCAACTGGTATTCTGCATCTGCCATCATGTTGCCCTGGGAGTTGAAGCTCTGGTACACATTCTGCATCTCTTCCGGAGTGAGGGCGTCCACTTCCATCTCCTCCGGTATGGCGGTAACTTGTGAGGTTTGACTCAAGGAGCCCTTTTTTTCTGGTTGTTCTCGATCTTGAGCTCTTTCTGCATCTCGCCCGCCCGAAAGGGACTCTCCCAACGGGAATTGCAGTCTCGGCAAGTGATCCACGAAGCCCGGGCATTGCCGCCGCCCTTCAGACGATGCTTCGGGTGCACACAAGCGCTCGCTGCATTGATTGGTGCCTCTTTGGTTTGCAAAGGCTTCAATGGCGCCGCATTCACGATAATCTCCGCGTAGATGTCCTCGGGTTTGGTCTCAGACGAGGGCAACAATGCCAAGCCCGATGATTGCGGGCACCAATCGCCGATGGCGTCTTGCAAGGCCACCATCATCAAAAGAGTGCACAGCTTGTCCATCATGATGCGCCAATGTTTGAGGGCGCGAGGACTTGAGTGTTGAGCAGCTCGCCGAAAAGTTTGAAGGTTCGGCTCCGCTGCTGCTTTCGGCTTGCCCAAGCTTCGCATCCTGCCCAACAGACCGTCCATCATTGCGAAAGGAGGATCCGGAGCGTTCAGCTGAACGAGGGCTCGTGGTGCCGCCGTTTGGGCTCTGCTGAGCCAGCATGACTGCGTTTTGTCCATCGCAAATTTCATGGTTGTGCTTGAAGTCATACTCTTGCCTAACTCCTGTGGTGTCTGAAAACCTTCTTGTGCAAACTCTGTGATGTTGATTACCATGTGTCCAGTATGCAATTCCTTCATCAAAACCTTCACTGCATGCTTGGCAAAGAAAATGTGATTCTCAGGAATGTTGATGATGGCACCCAAAAATTTGAGACGAATAGGGAGTAAAAGAGGAATGTCGCCTTCGACAACAGTTGCTTCGAGCACTCCATTGATGCCACCCAATCCTACAGGAATCAAAATAACTCCAACCACTTTTGCTTGTCCCCCAACCCCTTTTGCGGAGGAAGTCTTTGGCGTCCATCTGCAACACAAACCAAACTGTTTCAACTCGTTTTGCAGTCTTTCCAAAGCCACTGAACCAATCAAACCTCCTTCAGCTGCCGTGTCGACAACTCCCTCAAACGACTGTGTGACTATGCCATGAAAACTGGTAGAGGATGGTTTATCAACTGTAACCCTTGCGCTCTTGTATGCTGCATCCGATTCGCACGAGGAAGTGTCATGAGTCTTTGCCCTGCGCTCTACAAAGTTTCTCAGCCAAAAGTCCTGGATACCTTGTCCAGGAGGCTGATCCAAATTGGATCCTGTGTCGTCAGACATCGCGACGAAAAAGCCCGACTTGCTGGTGGATGCCGCGCTGGAAGACTGGCCAGCGCTCTCCTTGACTGAAAGCTTGCTATTGCACTCTGCACTGATGTGTCCGATCTGTCCACATCGCCAGCAACGGGTTCTCAACTTCAGCTGCTCTTTGTGTATACGAACTTTGCCCTTGCCTTTGCCCTTGACGGTGCCACCTCCAAGACCCTTTCCGGGGAAATACCCCCTGTTGGTTTTCTGTTCTTTGAGAGCTTGACGGACCTCTCGGTAGGATGCCAAAGCCTCCAGCATGTCTTGTTCTTCATATATTCCATCGAGGTCACCCTCCACTACATATATGTATTCATCTCCGGAGTCATCATAGGGCTCTGCAGGGAGGTTGCCATGCTCGGCGGTCACAACGCTCTCGGAGTCCATGACGTAGTTGGACTTGGAAGCTTTCTCTTTCAGCACCTTGTTAAGACGTCGCAAGGCCTTGACCATGCTATCTCGATCATATCTTCCTTCACACCAGGTTAAGACCCTCTGATCCTGAGACTCAGTAAGCGATGCCTGGCGGTACAAAATGTACCCAGTGGCACCCTTTGGCAGCTCTACTCCTTCCTTGGTGAGCATCGCAAAACTTCTTTCCAGCCTGTGAACATATTCAGCAAACGATTCTTTGCTCTGCCTAGGCAACCCATAGACAGCTGTTTCGAAAGCCCGCGGCATGGAAATCTCCAAGTGAGGCAAATAGTATTCCCTCAAACGACTCAAAATGTTTTTCACACCATCTTCACTTGTGATTTCATCAAACTCCATGTCATCTACTGCTAACCTTGCTGAACCGGTGAGGGCCCGGAGCATTTTTGCTCCCTGCTTTCTCACTGGCACATCCGTCTCAAACTGCCACAACCTGATGCCTTTCTCATACTGCCGAAAGGTCAATTCGGGATTCAGCCCATCATATCCTGGTGGTGGGTCTTTATCTCTAAATTGACTTCCCCCGGCAGCATCTCCGCCAGTGCTCACACTGGCCAAGGTACCCCCCGGTGCGCCTGCAGGCATTGCTCCACTCGTAGCGCCCACGGTTTGAGGTTCGTGCCAGTTGCCCTCTCCCTCTTCAGCCTCGCTACTTGCCATCTGCCCTGGAAGCGGAACGTGGCTCTCGCTACCACTGCGAAAGCAATGGTGTCAATCACCTTCAACGGACCTTTGTCGCCTCTGTCGCGGGCATGGCGTCGTTTCGCCTTTGGATGGGATAAGGGCCCCTTGCATTTGGACCATAGTGTCACGGCCAACTGGAGTCAACCTGTACATTGCTATGAAATGTGTTTCCACAGTTATATATATATATGTATGTTATATATATATGTTATATATATATGTTATATTATATGACATAATGACTATCCATTACATTCCATGACTTACTATTCTCCTGAATCTTAAGCCCATCTAAAAATGAGGTGGCATCTCAGGGAACCCGGCTGTGTAAATATAGCAGTCCGCGCAGAATTTGATAAGAGAAGTACCTGGATCAGCACACGTCCAACAAATTCTGCAGCAAACACACCAAATCCTTCAGTTTTGTTGTGGTTGATCCATTTCCTGTTCAAATTGCCCGCTCCAGAGAGAACTGTCAGTATGAGAGGAAGCCACGTGATCCATGACCAAACAATGTATTGAATGCATTGGTGTTTCAGTGATATGATCAAGCATACTACCCAGTACCTATAAACAAATTATTTAGCAGTACTTGTCTCCTCAAGCCACATCAGCGCAGCGCACTGATGGTGCTCATCATTTAAGACCTGCTGGAAACATGGTGGCCCAGCTGGCCATCAGCAGCCCCACTGCTACAAGATTGTGCAGCAAGGACCAAAAAATGCTCAATCTGCAGCTCCCCAGCAAACCAGAGTCAAACTTTACCAGTCACCCGATACCCAAAGCTTCACATCGCCTGTTTGGAGTAAATGACCCGGTGCAGATCTGTCTCCATCAGATCAGTGACCTCAAACTGCACAAGTGTCGGACGCAAGACCTGTGACACTGTTACCCCTGACACCGCATTCAACTTGGAACTCTTGTCAGGCTCCCTGCAATGTAAATGTCATCGAAGTCAGGATGTTCTGCGCCAGCAGCTGGTCATCAAAGGTCATGAAAAAAATGGTTCTGACATGTTCTGATGACGGTTTTTCAGAATTGAAACCAAAATGTTTCTGTGGGTAAATGTTTCACCACTATGTTTCTTTGCCATTTGGTACCGCAGGTGTTCTATGTCCATCCCAGAAACTAGCCGGTCTTGGGTGATGATGGGACCTATTACAAGTTGGTATCGCGACATCCAGTGACCACAAAGTGTGTCAAGGGATCCACAATGACACGTGCAAACTCATTCCAACGGAACCCCAATCATTTCATCTCCACTTCCAGGCTCTGGTGACAAAAACAGGTAAACTCAGCAAAGGCAAATCTCTGATTTTAATAAAAGATGGCAAATAGCCGGTGTCTTCGTCACTGGTTGCCATCAAAGAGATTTTGGCTCCAAGCAATTGACGCAGGGCATCAATGGAACCTGATATTTTAACATCAACAGTTTTATTTGACCAAGTTCTTCAGGTTGGCCGATCATGGCTGATCCCTCCGCCCGAAAGATCCTGGCGGATACATGTCCAGGATGCTGATGATCTGGCCGGAGAATGATTCACAAAGATTGCAAAGCAGAGAAAAACACAATGAGTGCGAAAAAAAAAAGAATGAGTGAGACACAGTGAGAGACAGTGAGAGACAGTGGTGAGACACAGTGGTGAGACACAGTGGTGAGACACAGTGGTGAGACACAGTGGTGAGACACAGTGGTGAGACACAGTGGTGAGACACAGTGGTGAGCCACAGTGAGACACAGTGGTGAGCCACAGTGAGACACAGTGAGACACGGTGAGACACAGTGAGCCACAGTGAGCCACAGTGAGGCACAGTCAGCCACAGTGAGGCACCGTGAGAGACACCGTGAGAGACACCGTGAGAGACACCGTGAGAGACACAGTAAGACACAGTGAGACACAGTGAGACACAGTGAGACACAGTGAGACACAGTGAGACACAGTGAGACACAGTGAGACACAGTGAGACAAGGTCTTCTCAAATATTATTAAAATATACAAAATTATATATATGTAATTAATACATAATATTAAATAATATCATATAATTATACTATATTATACTATATAATTAACCATTAGGGCCAAAAGGGCAATCTCAAGGCAAAGTCACATCCTGAGCTTCCCGACATTGTCGTGCCTGAAGCTCCGCAGAAGCTTCACCTGCGACAAGACATATTCAGCCACGAAAAAACTATCAGCCGATTGCCTGATGACTTCCATCGTAAAGATTGTGCAACACATTGCAAAACGAGCACTTCCGATTGTTCGCCTCCCGCAAGATTCGCTTTCCATCCACCGGGTCATGGAATGCATCTGTAATCTTCTTCACCTCAGCTGATCATCAAAATGTGAAATCCATACATAGAAATCCACATTTTGATACATTTTGATACATTTTGAATACATTTTGGTCGTAAGATGTTGTACGGACTAGAATGACTGGAACATTGTTTCGAAATTTCGAAAAATGGCCAACATTGACACCATGCCATCTCCATGCGATGGCGCCATTTTTAACATGGCTGGAACCCAGCTGCGCCGCCGAGAGGCTGCCAACTTCGTCCCTGTCTTTGGGTCTTGAAACGAAGCGACGGTGCCATATGCTCCAGAGCCCACCTACACCGACGGTTGATGCTTTGGTTGATGCTTCAAGTCAACCTGCCCTTAAGGCGATCCTTCAATCCTTGGATGTAGTGGCTTTGAAAATGATATCCAGATACTAGGAATCTCCATAGATGTGGCAGTGTTTACTTGTTGAGAGTTTTTGGAAGCTGCCGTGCGCAGTGCATGTGGGCACATGCGCTGATGTCACCGAACCGTAGCACCGTGGCGCCTTCTTGATGAGTTCAAGATGAGCAGGCACCTTAAATTTCACCTGCACGGGCCAAACCCATTTTGAAGCAGTTTTGAGGGGCTCAAGGGCATGAAGAATCCCACAGAACCTTCCAGCAACAAAGCCCCAAGAGCACCAGGCGTATTCCAAGATCTCAATAGATTTCATAATATGTCCAAGAGTCCAAGAGTCCAAGAATCCAGCAACTTGCAGCAAACAAATCATTCAAATACCTTCCAAATACATCCAAAGTCATCCAAATACCTTCAATACCCAGCATTTGAAGTAGAGAACCACCAAAATCCCTCGAAGACCTTGCCATCGATCAGCACTTCCTTCCAAGCGGTGGGTGGCATCACTGCCTCGAAAGGCGCCTGGCACGCATAGCCGCGTAGCCGCGTAGCCAGGAGAGTCAGAAACGTCAGGACAGTCAAACGAAAGTGAAAACGTGTGAAAAGTGAATTTCATAGGCCTGGACTCGCCAAATGACATTTCGACCAAGCCTATATATATACTACATGATACTACACTGTGTCAATGCGCTGATGTTTGGTTTCCTTCAAACTGAAATAAATGAATAAAATTGAATAAAATTGAATAAACCTCCAAATCTTCCAAGTGGCTCAGGGCCACCGGTCCATACCCACCGCCACGCCTTTGCGGGGAACCGCAAAGATGGCCCGGTGTTCTTGAGACAAAACGGCGCGACACAGCTCGGCATGCGAAAGCAATGGCATCACCCAGGTGAACTCGCGATTGGGACATATTGGCTTTGCAACTTCCAGAGTAAGCTCAAGTTGAACTGACAAAAGAAAACTTTTTGATGGATGCTCCAAGATTGCTGAAGTCCAAGTTCCAACAGCCTCCTATATCCATAGCATTCCATAGCGATCGCATCCGACAAATGCTCACTTTTCACTCAGAACTCCTCTTGCCGCTCTTCGGCATCTGTCAGCAGCCCTTGTTCCCCATCTGCAGCGTCTGCCCTCAGCTGGTCCGCCAGATTGTCTGTACTTCATTCTTCGCGAACAGCTATAGGGAGGGTTAGAGATGGTTAGAGGGGGTTGGCAAGATGTTAGAGTAAAGAAAGCATATGTGCTCAGATGATCTCAGATGTGCTTGTCAGTCTGGAGTCCTAACTAAACACAACATAGGGCGCAAGGCCAACGAGGACAGCTCTTTAACAAGTCAAGGCACCACTGCGATTTAGAAATCCACATCTCAACATATCTCAACGCTGCCTAGGGACGACATCAAGGAGATGCTGTGAGTGGCCAAGGGCTGCAACTTGGTCATCGCCTCCTAGCGGCTAAGTAAAAGGCCAGCCCGGACGAGGACCGTGACCAAAGATCATTATCATCAGAATACGGTACTCCGAGTTACTCCACTTGACTCAACTCCCAGAAGTCAGAAGAATAGCGTCTAACCAATCCACACTTGCCTTACATTGCCTTACGTTGCCTTTACTTTCCTGATACCATAAGGCTATGTCACAATGTCCGCTTCACCGCAATGGGATTAGACAATGCCTTCCCTGCCCACCAGCCTGAAGCCATGCCTCTGAATCACCTAGGAGGCGACCGTCCACCTCAGAAACTGATGGGCAAGGTTGGGGTTGTCTGTTTGCAGACATTAACAACTTGGCAACAATGTCTGTAGTTCCTGAGAACACTTGGGTCCTTCTCCAACTATCTACCAGGAATCTACCAATTTGATCCGTTGGTTTGGTGCAAAGAGCTGTTGTGCGCGTTCCTCATTCAGAGGATGCAAGCGTGGGGCCTTGATGAGAGAAGGTTAGAAAGGCTTGCCCATGGCAGGTTGCGGGGAGTCTGGATGAACTTACCAAAGTGATCCTAAATGATCTAAGATGTGACAAAATGGTCCAAAAGTGCTGGTTTCGCCAGATGGGAGGTGGACTTCTGGACTCCAGTTATCACCAAGCGGCTCGAATTTGTTCAGCAGCAGCCTTCTTGCCAGCTGGGAAAAACGCCTCATTGAATTTGTTTGAAACGTGGTCCCTAAATCACCAGCATCCCAGAATACCCAACTCTTGCTTGGAAGCATTCTGACTCTGATGCGACGTGGACGGGTGGGTTCTCTTGCACCCAGGCTCAAGTCTTTCATATCAGGTTACCTCTCAGAGATCGCTACCAAGTGTGCCAATCTGCTAGGCTGATCATATCTTCATATACAATGCAGAGCAAGGAGCATCTCCCCTCGTCCCTTTCTGCATTTCTTCACATGTCAATCACGTCTGACACCTATGACGATCAAGAAGTCAGAAATGCTCTGCTTGCAACAGGACGAGTCACCAGGAAGGGATAGCCAGTGAGGCGCATCATCACAGGATGATCCACCTTGTTTTTGTTCCGGAGAATTAAAAATGATTTCAAGCCGGGCCATCTTTTCTTCACCATCCGTCAAGCTTTACCCCTAGCGTGTTGGCGCAAGTGAGCTGCTCTCTATCGCAATCTGATCTTGATGGTATAAATATGTATAAATCGGCATTTCGATACTTCTTTGACCCCGCAGTGGAGGAGTCTGTTTTTTCAAGGCACATCATTGCGAGTGTCGTCAATCTTCAGCACTGCGAAATATCTGTAAAATTGCTGCGTTCGTCGAGCAAGCTCGTCAATGCGGGGCTGCATCCGCTTGGAGAAGCCTAAAGCTGCAGGTTGGGGGCCCATGGAGAAGGCCCCACTTGCATTTTTTATCGTTTCATCCTTTTTCAATGCAAATGGAATTCCACAAAAGTGGACTCAAAGAGTCTCATTCAAGCTCAAGCCAAGCTGCCGCACCAGGGGGCGAAGAACATCACCAGAACATCCTTCTGATCATCTATGACAAGCCTGTGGAATTGGGAATGGTGTGGTTTTTCTCCACTTCGAGTGGCCAGAAGATTTTTGATGGTTCTTGTGAGCACATCACCAACATCCCCATCAATCCGCAACATCGACGCGCCTTTGAAACTGCGAGCCTACAATCTCCAGAGCACCAGATTTGGAGTCGTGCTGCACAGGATCCTCACCATGATTGAACTATTCCTTCGTCCATTGAAATCGTTAGCATTTACTTAGGAGGTTCATGAGTTCTTCTTCTTGTGTGATCCCGCAGCAGGAAGTCAAAAATTCAACTATCCCGCATCTGCAGCCCAGTCTCATCGACAACTGGTGCAGATCGAAACCACTGCGTCACCTCACCTGTGATGGGAAAATGTTCTTAGCCCATCTTAGCCCTTCAAACTACCAGCGCACTCCGTCCAAATCGTATCCACAAGACAACGTCTGAGCCATTGAAAACCCTCCGGCACTAGCCGGTGACTGTCCCAATGAGTTGTGGAGTTGGAATTTGCGCCTCTCAAAAACATCTGGCCAAAGCCCTGAAGCTCCGGCACCGTCAAGCGCCCCGGCTCTCCTGCCAAAAACCCGATGGATCTAGATCTGGCTAAGCCTAAGCAGCGCTTGGCTCCTTGGGAGTGCAGGTAAAGCTGGTAGGGCCGCTGCCCTATGCCATTCGTCCAATTCACAATCACCACCTCTGCCAGGGCGGACGGCGAAGTGACTCTCCAACCCACAAGTATACAGCATGGAAATATGTACTGTATGAATATAAAATCAATTAAGATAGTAAAGTATAATTGCAAAAAAACATAATATAATATAAAATAATATAATATAATATAATATAATAAAATATAATATAATAATAAATAAAATGTAATATAATACAATATAATATAAAATGTAATATAATATAATATAATATGATATAATATAGTATAAAATAAAACATAATATTAAATATAATAAAACATAATATGATATAATAAAATATAATATAATATAATATTTTTAAAATATAATATAATATAATATATAATATAATATTAAATACAATATAATATCAAATATAATAAAATATAATATGATATAATATAAAAAATATAATATTTTTGAAATATAATATAATATAAAATATAATATTAAATATAATATAATATGATATAATATAATATAATATAATTTAATATAATGGAATATAATATTAAATATATTATAATAAAATAAAATATAATATAATATAATATACTATAACACAACATAATATAATATAATACAATATAATATAATAAAATATATTGTAATATAATATACTATAATAAAACATAATATAACATAATCAAAGGAAGTTGGGAAGCAATGCTTCCGTGTTACGGACAAATAGAATTCTGAGACTTGAAATGATGAAGGGTGGTGCGCGACTGAGACTTGACCTTGATGAAGGGTGGTGTGAGACTTTACATTATATAACAATACATCAGAAAAGAATTGACCTTGATGAAGGGTGGTGTGCGACATTACATTACATAACAATACATCACAAAAGGGTTGACCTTGATGAAGGGTGGTGTGAGACATTACAAGGGTGGTGTGCGACATTACATTACACAACAATACATCACAAAAGGATTGACCTTGATGAAGGGTGGTGTGAGACATTACATTACATAACAATACATCACAAAAGGATTGACCTTGATGAAGGGTGGTGTGAGACTTTGCACTACATAACAATACATCAGCAAAGAACTGACTTTGATGAAGGGTGGTGTGAGACTTTACACTACATAACAATACATCAGAAAAAGAATTGATCTCGATGAAGGGTGGTGTGAGACTTTGCACTACATAACAATACGGCTGGGGTCGTTTGGTTCCTTCTATGTGTTTTGCAACAATGTTTCTTCCTGTGTGCGTGGTTCTATGCGTTTCTTGAAGCTGTGGTGGCAGATTGCATTGGAATGGCTGCTTGATTGTCGTCATCTGATGTTGCCAAGTGCGTAGATAGGTGCAGGTTTGCTACGGGATGCTGCGAAACGTATTATACTGGTTGCATGAATGTTGCATGGGCTATGTTTTGGGGAGGAAGCCGGAGCACGAAACCTTGCGTTTTTCCGTGTAATGTGGCTGCAGCCGACGATGAAAGGTACCTCGTCTGTGCGGCGGTTGCGGCTGGGGTCGGTTTGCCTTTTTTTTTGCCGCATTGTAACGGTGGCTTCAAGCTGCTTTGGGTGTGCTTGTGTGTGCGTAGTTATAGGGTGTTTTGAATCTGTGCTTGCAGATCGCATTGGAATGGCTGCATGACTCTTGTCATCTGGTGTTCTGGTGTTGTTCTGTGCGTAGATAGGTGCAGGTTTGCGAGTTGATGCTGCGAACCGCATTGTAATGGCTGCATGATGTTGCATGGGCTATGTTTTGGGGAGGAAGCCGGAGCACGAAACCTTGTGTTTTTCCGTGTAAAGTGGCTGCAGCCGACGATGAAAGGTACCTCGTCTGTGTGACGGGTGCGGCTGCGGCCGTTTTGTGCGCGAATTGTTCCTCCTATGTGTTTTGCAACGAGTGGTTGTGTCTGTGTGCGTAGTTCTATGCGGTTCTTGAATCTCGGGGTGCAAATTGCATTGGAATGGCTGCTTCATTGTCGTCATTTGATGTTGCCACGTGCGTAGATAGGTGCGGGTTTGCCACGGGATGCTGCGAAACGCAATTGTAATGGCTGCATGAATGTTGCATGGGCTATGTTTTGGGGAGGAAGCCGGAGCACGAAACCTTGTGTTTTTCCGTGTAAAGTGGCTGCAGGCGACGATGAAAGGTACCTCGTCTGTGCGGCAGTTGCGGCTGGGGGCGGTTTGCCTTTTTTTTTTTTGTGTGCTGCAAGCATGCTTGTGTTCTGCAGAGCGCCAACCTTAAAAAAAAAAAAGAAACTTGCTGCAACGCAAAGTGGAAGAAGGACGGAAATTTGGAGTCGCAAACTTGTAGGATTGACATTGGCTTCGAAGAAATGGCAGCGCTCAAGCATAGCTTGAAGATTGCATTGCACGTCTACGACGCGTTGCAAAATTCACGGTGCTTCGCGTGCAGACGAAGTATCCCAACCGAGGACTCTGCGCTGGTTGTTTCGAAGCCTTGACAACTGTTTGCACGGAACAAGACGATACCTTGGCAGAACAGCGCTGCGTTGCCCTGAAAGATGATGGTGTGCACGCTGCGGCCATGTTGTTGAGTGCTTACCGAGCAGGTGCAGAATGTCGTTTGTCGCAAGCAGATGCAGCTTGGGTCCGCAATGTCATTGCAGATAGTGAGAACTTCTTGCCTGATTTGCTTCGTGAAGTGCCATGACGGCCAACCAGAACCAGGCTTCCAACGTGATAAGCTCTCCAGCCTTTCGTGCCAGTGCGGGCCGAAAAAGCTGCCAAAAGCCTAGACGACCAAGTGTAGCGCAGAGGCGCAGAGGAAAAAGCAGCTGTCGAGCTTGGACTGCGTGAATCTCCTTGACAGGTAACAACTACACACTTGCCGTTGCGATTTGATACAACGCATCAACGCTTGGCATTAATGACCTCAATATTGTAAATATTTTATGGTCTACGCCTTTTGGCATGTAGAAGAATCGACATGAGTTACGCTCAACCTTGCTGACGTGCAGAAGCGCCGAGATAAGTTGAAAGTAGGTCCAACACATGAGAAAGTTTGAGCTGCGCTCAGATGACATGAAAATAGCCAAGAAAAACGTAGCTGACATATGGGAAGCCATGAAACCAGATGAAAAGAGCTCAGATGTGAAGTGTGAAGGGTGCAATGTGATGTGTGAGGAAAGTGCTTGCGTGACGTTGCATTGCGCCGGGGACGCGCGCAGGTTATGTTCTTGGACAACAACATTGCAACAGCTTCGCACAAAGCACGCACGCACAGGCCTGGCTGGCGCACTGCGCATGCAAGTTCCTTTCTAGTAGTATTGGGAAGTCATTCGTGAAAGCTTAGATGACATATGAGAAGAGATGAGATGAGATGAGAAGAGATGAGCTGGGATGAGGTGCGAAGAGCTCAGATGAGATGAAGTGTGGGGTGTGAAGAGTGCAGTGTGAAGTGTGAAGCGTGAAGTTTGGAGTGTGAAGGAAGCAGTGAGAAGTGAGAAGTGTGAAGTGTGGACTGTGAAGTGTGAAGTTTGGAGTGCGAAGAGTGCAGTGTGAAGTGTGAAGTGTGGAGTGTGAAGTGTGAAGTGTGGAGTCTTAAGAGTACAATGTGAAGTGAAGTGTTGACTGCGAAGGGTGCAGTGTGAAGGGTGGAGTGTGAAGTGCGCAGTGTGAAGTGCGAAGACTGTCAAGTGTGAAGTGTGACGTGGAGCTTCAACTGTGACATGTGAAACAAGACACCAGTTTCGCAGAGTGCACGCACGCACTTGCTTGGCTGGCGCACGGCGCATGCAAGTTCTATAGATGAGCAAGGTCTTATATATATATATCTTTAAGGCAACTTCCGCCCCGCCTCGTGCGGGTACTACTGGTATGATATAATTTTATATAATATAATATAATACCAATAGTACCGCACAAGGCGGTGGCGGAAGCTACAAAAATAAGAAACCTATATACAGGAGAGATTGGTTGTTGTGAATCACGGATGGCAGAGCAAATCCACCGATGGACCGAAAGGTGGTTGGAATGTCGAATTATCCATTTGTCTGTCAATCCATCTATCTATCTATCCTTCTTTTCTGTCTACTGATCTATCTGTCTGTCAACCTATCCATCTCTCTGTCCTTCCATCCATCTGCTTAGCTCTGTATCTGTCTATGCAGCCGTCCATCCATCATCCTATTTTAGTCTATGAATCCGTCAGAAAAGACACAGTCGACTGCTTTCACCTACGGTCGGGGTGCTCAAAACCCTCTTCCTTCCCCTGCCTCTGCATTCACGTTGTTCCACCAAATAACAAGCAGAAACCACACAAGAAACAGCAACATCCACACCTACACTGCGAGCATGTTGAGTGACATGTCTGTCCCCCTCAAATCACCGGTTACAGCAAGAATTCTAAGACATAGGCTCCCCAAATTGCAAATTCCAAGTTGTAGTGTTTTGTAATGTTAGTTGTAGTTGTAGCTGAAGTGTATATAGTTGAAGTTGTTGTACGTAGTTATAGTTGTAGTCGTAGTTGTAGTAGTTGAAGTCTAGTTCAAGTTGTAGTGTAGTTCTAGTTGTACAGTCGTTGTAGTGTAGTGCAGTGGCAGTTGTCTATCTCCCAGTCCGTCTTTATTTTTTTATCTATCTGTCTATCTGTTTATCTCTCTATTTGCCTGTCTGTCTATCTAGCAATCTTTCTGTCTATCTATCTGCAAGCTTGGAAACGAAGCTATTCTGCCAGACTTCCTCAATTTTTTTGAACTAGACAACATCCAAAACGAAGCAATTCTGCGAGACTGCCTCAATTTTTGAACTTGACAACATCAGAAACGAAGCAATTCTGCGACAATTCCTTCAAAAGTGGAAAGTTGAATGGCCTCGTACCAATGCGTTTTGCGACTTTTCCGGGCCATGTCTCTAAAGTATTGCGCCTGCCACGCAAAATCATCTTAGCAAACCTCAAGATCTGATGCTCCAAAATGCAACCCCTCTCAAGAAATCATCGCCCTGACCTCCTAACACATCGAACTCATGTGTCTGTCGTACTGCGCCTGCCACGCGACATGCATCTTTCCAGATCCTCTTCGAATGTCCCGCGCCTGCCATCCTTTTTGAAACTGCTCCAAAACCCTCACGTTTTGCTCACTTTTGACCAGGTGCACAATCCCTCGTGCCTACCGCACAAAGCGACATCTGAACATCCAAAAGTGCTCCGTACCCGTCAGTTTTTTGCACTGACATGTGCTTCGCGCCACAACGGCCTGCACTTTTGCGACATCTCAATTCCTCAAAGTGCTCCGGAGCTGGTGTGTTTTGAACATTTTTACTTGGAAACGTGCTTCGCACCGCAACAGCGTGCAACTTTGAATCTCTCATCTGGCCAGCTGGCTCCGCACCCGCCGCTTTAGCGAGCCTACTTTTCGACCCTCCAGAGCTACAAATCATTGGTAAACACAGTGTTTCGCGACTTTCCTCCCTTTTCGCGCACCTGCATCTTCTTTCCTCTGACTCTTCTCTTCTCTGATCTTCTCTCTTCTGCTCTTCTCTTCCGACCTCTGCTTTTCCATCTGTCCATATTGTTGGAAGTTTGACTTCTAAACTTCCTTCGATAAAACAATAAGATTAAATATAATATTATAAAACATACCATAACATAACATAATACAAGGCAATCAAACACAATAGAAAATATGATGGGATAAAAAAAAATGTTATATACACATGTATATATATAGATATAAATACATATTTATTGATTTATTTACTTATTTACTTACTTTTAATGCTGCTTGTAAAAAAATACATGCTGGTAGTATGTGCACACAAACACACACACACACACACACACATATATATATATTTATTTATATATCTATTTATTTATTGAATAGGTATATACACAATGTTACATATTCACATTGCATTAAGCCTTGCAAGGATTGCAGCATTTTCCCCGGCAAGGGTTGAATTGCCCCATGAAATCAAATGGAAAGCTTTTGCGCAAACTACAAGAGGTGAAAGTCATCCCTTACTCGCCTTAGCCTCCCTTTCCTGCCTTGCCCCCTTCCTGCCCCAAGTGCAAGACTGTTTATCAATAAAAATCTCTAAGTCATCCTGTCAATGCTTTCACCTATGTTCATGCTAGCCTGTGTGCAAAGAGCCAACTTTCACCTTTGCCTGTGGCCACCTGGTATCAACAAACTCCAAATGCTGCTGCGGCACAGTGGGAATTTCGCCTGCTTTGATCTTAAAGGATTTCAGCGCACTGGCAAAGTCCTGAGAAATCCGAGACGGCCCACTGGAAAAGCGCCAACTCTTCCATCTCTGAAATCACTCGCAGCTGCAATCCAGCCACTGCCCGGAGCAAAACGACGGCCAACTTCTCCGATGAAAATGATTCCGCCACCTTCCAGCAAAAAGCAAAAAGGTGCAAACTTCCACTACGTATACATACGTATATACATGGTTGCGCTTCTAAACATAAATGCCATGTCAACTCAGGACAACAGTCCTACAAGCCTTCAAAAATAGAAGCGTTTGAGGGTATACCAAGATATGTCAATACAGCGAATGTATGTATATATTTATGTGTGTATTAATATATTACTGTGTGAAAATATACGGCTAGGGAGGCTGACTGTAGCCCGAAATCTACACAATCAAATGTCTGCTGTGTTGTTTCGGCGCATTTTTCCCAAACTGCGAACATGCAATATATTGCGTGCATCTCGTCGCATTTTGGGCTTACCTAAGGGGGTCCCAAAATATCTTCCTCGGTTTCCGTTTTCGAGGCTTAAACTAAAACCCGAAACAAACCAAAAGACTAAAAGCACACAAAATTAACCAATCCGAAAGTACCTTAAATAAGCACAAATCGACCTAAATCACCCATAGATAATGTCGCTGCGGAGGGACTTTTTTTTTGGCTAGCGAAATGCAATCCTGGATCTGCCATTTGGACTGCACGTCAGCAGCGCACCAAAGAGGAGCGACTAATTCCTATTTGACAGGATTCTGCCAGAGACCGAAAATAAAATTTTGTGCGCTGACATGCGCCCCCCCGAAGGGCACATGCAGGGAACCAGCGTGACAATTTCCCCACATCCAATAAAAGGCATCTGAAATGAAGAGCTCCAGCATGTCACTTGGAGAGAATCAAGACCCCTCGGCGCACTGCAGGATCCGTGACCACTGGCTACAGATCTTTGAGCTGCGTTGCTTCAGATCAGAAGAGAATATACAAAGCGCAGATTGCAAGACAAAGAGGAGGAATCCATTGTTGAAAGTTGCGAAAAACCCACGACATGCGAGGAGATAGCCGTGGTTTCGCGGTCTGCCACTGGCGGCCCCCGCGCGTGAGCAGACCCCGTTGGGGAGGGCAGCACGCCAGTTTGTTACCACTGTGCCCAGCCAGGTCGTGAGAATTTCGAAAGCATGCCATCCTATCAAAAGAGAACCAGCCAAACAGAGAGGAGCCATACCAGGCCCCAGCCTTCCAGTAAAGATCAAAATCTTGGTGGTGGGAGTGCCAGCGGTGTGGAGGAGAGAGCACAACCGAAATGGAGTACACGACAAGCTCAGAAAGGAGAGGCCCAACGAGCCTCGAATGGAATTCGATACCATCAATAGATGTCTTGGCCAATACCGTGACTGGAAGGAAGCAGGGGTTCAAGCCGGACATTAAACCTTAGTAGGCAAAGCTGACCTTAGTAGAAAGTTCAAAACGAAGTGCTGCTCCATGGCAACGGAGTGAAACTATCTCACATACCTGCTCACACTTGTGCCAAGACCTTGCGGAGGGATTTGTACGTACGTATTATATTATATTATATTATATATATATGTACCATTCATCCATGTGTGTATGTGTCATATACCATGAGCTTAATTATTTTTTATACATCTAATGAATATATATATATATACATCTCAAAGTGTTATATGAAACTCGGTACTACTCGCTCTTCCGCAGCTTTCCTTTTTCACAGCACTGCCAATGTCAATCACATTTCACCTGCAATCCTCAGGTTTGCTTTGGGTCGTCACGTTGTGACATGTACATAGCCTCAGACCAGTGTCACCGCTGGTCAGCTGCCTGGTGATCCAGGCTGGAACCTGCTCAGCAGGTATCACCCAACCCTTAACCTAAGGGAAGGTAAAACTCTCTTGGTCACCCTAAGAGAGAATCCCCAGAAGAGGCTATGGACTCGCCTGCCATGCAGGCTCCCCTAACCTAGGCGGACATCTCCACGGGAGGTCGGCTCTTAGGGTTGGGAGGGTGGGGAAAGAAACAGCAAATGAATGCTATTTTGGTTCAAGTTTACTTGAGCCAAAATGATAGCATTCATTGAACACTTAAAGATGATACATGCACACCCAAGCCTGCCAAACTCGATGCATGGGTACATCTCAAAGTGTTATATGAAACTCGGTACTACTCGCTCTTCCGCAGCTTTCCTTTTTCACAGCACTGCCAATGTCAATCACATTTCACCTGCAATCCTCAGGTTTGCTTTGGGTCGTCACGTTGTGACATGTACATAGCCTCAGACCAGTGTCACCGCTGGTCAGCTGCCTGGTGATCCAGGCTGGAACCTGCTCAGCAGGTATCACCCAATGCACTCAAAATCCCCAAAGCACTAAAGGAATTCAAAGGTGAGAATGACAGCGACGAAAGGCAGCTGGAAAAAGATAGTGGGAAGGTACGACGAATAAAAGTCAAAACCATGGTATCGCCACCATGGGTCCTCAGCGCCGAGGCGGCTGATGTCATCAGCCCAGTTGCTCTTGCTCTGGACGTACTCCCAGTAACCCTGGGCTCGCAGTGCAAACAGAGCTAGATGGATCAAATGACCTAGCTTGGCTAAGTCGGCATTGCTAGAACGTCCTCTCACTAGCGTCATGACGGCTGCAACGTTGTCCAGAAACCAAAGCCCGTGTCGATTTCGAAACAGGTCAGGTCGTTCCACTAAGGCGTACAGCACCATCGAGAGCTCCAACTGGGCGATGTGGGTTTCTGCAGGCTGCCATAATTTCTGAAGCTCTGCACAATTGTTGGCTACAAAACTGTGACGTATCTGGGATCCGTCAGGCTGGAAAAAGATGAGGTGAAAACCTCCTGAACCTGGATTGTCAGCCTCCACCGCAGCATCTGAGGCAGCAAGGAAGCGCAGGTTGTCCAGGTGAAAGACGGGAAATTCCCGTTTTGGCTGAAAGCGCATCACTGCTTCGATCACCTCGAAGCATGCTTCAATCTCAGGGGTTACCGATGTAGTGGCTTCATCCTGTCTGGCTTTGATTGCCATCAGGCCACCATACCCTACACGGCCATAGATACCCTGCTCTAGGAAATTCGCCAGGCCATACAACTTCGAAGCTGTGCCACGGCTGAAGTGACCTGTAGTCCTAGCCGTAGTGAGGAGGTCACGAACTTTATCATGAAGACGTTCTCGAGCCCAAAAACGGACATGCCCTGTTTGGTTGATGCAGTCGAGGTCATGGGTTAGGCCCAAAAAGGTGCCTGTGCTCTGCATTGACTGCTTCTTGTCTTCGGCAAAGGGGGAGCCTATCAACTTGCAAAGCTGGTTCATGGCCCATTGTCCGGAGCCTTTGGAGGAACGTAGGTCCGTGATGGTCGCATCGTCGAAGTAGAGAGATGTCAAAACTTGGCAAAACCGCCTGGCCAAAGCTTCCAACAACCGCGAAAAACGGTTGAATGAAGTGACCGCTAACGGAAGCCCAAAAAGGAGGCCTGCATAGACCTGATATGCTGGAGTTTGCCATTCATGGTGGTACCACACCACTATGCAGCCTAGGCTTTCTTGCATCGCCATGGGGCAATACCGGTAGGCTGATGGTAGATCTTCCTGGCCTGTCTCCCAGGCATCGTTGGCGAAGAAGTGCTCGATGTCCTCTGCTGTCCATCTATGCATCACCAAACGAATGTGCTGGGCTGGACGCAAAGGACTGCACAGGGTGAGCTTGTTGGCATCGGAGGAGAGGGCTGATTGTCCTCCTGTGTCGCCGTTGTCGATCACTCTCTGCTTGCCTGAACTCTGCGTGATGACACAACGAGGGATCAAACGATGTGCTCGGTTGCCAATGAGCCGCAAAAATTCGGCTCGTCGCAGAGGTGCGGTGCAAAACCCGTTGTTGGCATCCTCCATGGATTGTTGCAAAAGGAACTCATCATCTTTGCCTGCTCGCAGCTGGTGCAGGATGTGCTGGTTGTGTTCCTGCCACCCATCCAAAACATCTGTCATGCTGATCACCTCAGCCGGCTGCTGGGGAAAAATTCCATAGGGTGGCGCATAGCCCACTGCCGGCAAGCCACAGATCAAGCCAAAGGGGAAGCTAGTGTCAGCCCAGGATGTCAACACCATCAACAAGGCTATGAGCCCCATATCTCGATGTTTTGTGACTTGCTGCACGGCGGTTTCCTGAAAAGATCTCAAGTGGAGGGTCACCCCCTCCCAGCGTCTCTTCAGCTCGCGCAATGCCCCCACTGCCTGTTGCCTCCACGGCCTCAGCGATTTGGTCGGGGATGCGTATGCATCGGCCACAAACTCCAAATCCATGTCAGAGACTGGAAGGTCTTCATAGGGCAGCGGCCTCTGGGCCCGTTGGAGGGCTTGTTGGAAATGATCGTCCGGCTCCAAGTTGAACGCCAGGAGTGGTGGTAGTGCTGCTTTGTGCGTCATTGCACCGACTTGGCCTCCTTCTCCAATTCGGGCCAGTTGCCTCACAGATCCCGCAGCAAGGTGGGGGACTAAGGGGCCGTCCCAAGCCTCACCACGCTCTGCCAGCCAGGCTGCGTAGGAACAAAACGGCGGGCTGTTGATGAGGTCCTCCACCATCGCAAACTTGTAACTCCTGAACCAATGCTCGGGGAAAAGCTTGCGAAATGCCAGCACTACTGCCTCCTGGCTCATCATGGGTAGGGCAACTCCTTTGGGGATCGCCTGAATACCTTGCAACAACGTAACTGCCCGGCTCCATTTGCCATCTGTGCCTCTACTGCCTGGGTCGCCCCCAGGGGCCATGGCATCAAAGTAGAGTCCAATGAGAAGATCGGCCTCGCAAAGTTGTTCCATAGGACAGTCGCAAGCTAAGGCCACGCCCTTGAGCTCATGCAGGGCGTCCCACAACGGCGATGTGCGGATATGGACAATGTACCGTGCATGCCATTCTCCAGCCTCGCAATTGTGGCCTGGTGTCCAAGGCGACTTCCACTTGGTCGTCGTCAGCCGATGGTGGAAGCTGCCTCGCCCAACATAGATCGTCTGGTGTGGCAACTTGTTCTTCTCGATCATGACGTCCTGCACGAGCTTCCTGACTGGTAACCCCGGTCGCTCGGCTCGCAGGGATTCTGTCAACCCAAGTGTCACAGCTAAAGGTGCCATTGCC